GAAAATAATTAAGAAATATTAAATGTAACGTTGCTACAGTTACTTATGTTAAGTTTAATATTTTTGTTAGGTAATGTTATGTTGGTGTTTGTGAATTGTGCGCTGTTTTGTGGTAAACTACTCGTATCAGTAATTTTAAATAGTTGTGCCGATTCATTGGATTCTATTGGCGTAAATGTTGGCGAGAGAGGGCTATTGTTTCCAATCTTATGGGGGCTCATTTTAGATGTAGAAGGGCGAGACCAAGAATCTGACAGAGGTTCTTTCAGCGTTATGGCCTCCACGATACTATTACAAATTTTTGATTTACTTTGGATTGAATCCTCTATGTATCCCTCTACAACCGAATTAGACTTCCAGCCTCCATGGCGCTTAAGCGATAGAAGATCAGCCCCTGATTCGGCCAAAAGTGTGGCTGAGGTTCTTCTAAAACAGTGACCGGTGTATAACGGGGGTTCTAAAAGTCCGAGAAAAGTTGCTATTTCTCGTGGAATACTGCCAATTTTATTCTGACCCATAGGTTGTCGGATACACTTTCCGTTGCGATATTGTAGAAAAAATCGTTCAATTGGGGTGTTAGAAGGACGTAAAGCTTGATATTTCTGAACAATGTTTACATATTCCTTGCGAATAACGAAGTTGCGGTCTTTTTTTGTCTTGGTATTTAGTACATTAATTAATAGCAATTCATCAGAATTATGAGAATATTTTGATACGTTATTGACATTAAGTAGTGTAAGTTCATTTGTTCGACATGCTCCGGTTATACCAATAATAAGAACAACCTGTAACAAAAGAAGTATTTATAATCGTAAATAAATTAATCAAATTAAAAATATTGTAAGTACTATGTACAATTTTATCAACAACAAAAAATTACACGTATTGACTTACTTTTGCCGCTAAATATACGGAATCAGGTGCTTCATTAATAAACTTTGCAATTTCAGATGCTGTGAAAACCTTCGATTTTTTTGGTTTATAACCAGATGAGGCTCTTTTTAAAAATGCCACTAATTTATGATAGGTGTCGATATGAACGTCTTTCTTCATCTTAATTGTTAATTTTAGCATTGAATACGTACTCCATAGCGTGCTTGCTTTCTTGGTCTCAGATAATTCTATAAAATATGCCAGCAAAACGTTTTCGGAGAAAGTTTTTGCTCCTTTAGCTAGTCGCCACATGTTAAATATATCGTACTGTTTCAAATACTTCTCTCGTGATTGCTGAGGGAGAAGGCTCATTTGCGCATTATTAACTGTTTCAGTTAACTCAGTTGGCGTTAGATAAACTTCATCGTCGCTAATGTCACTCATTTTAGTTGATTTTTTTGTACAGTTTTTAGGTTATGTTAATTATATTAAGCAATAAAACGTGAAAAACTAGAATGGCGCGAAGCACGCAAATAAAACAAAGAAACCAAGAAGGTTCCAAATTTAAATTTTTTCACAATTTAAAAAGTTCTAATCATAAATTTGGCACCATAGAGGTTACATTAAATAGGTTTAATGACGTTTTGAATTTACAATTATATTGAGTACTCATTATATGTGATGTTCTAAATTCAAATCTACTTTGCCGCTCAAGCGAATAAAATAGAATTTTCCAGCCAGATTTCGAAGCGCAAAATTACACTTTCCGAGGTGGTGGGATGAAAAAAGAAATACTTATTGCAGTTCAATACTTGGGTGAAATTTATAACCCGGTATTCAAAAGTACTTACGAGACCGATGTACCTATTCATTTTTTTCACTTAAACTTCCCGTATACACTTTGTAAACACAATCAATCACCAAACCTACTTTCGTAAAGCCTTGTGGCTCTGCTGAGTATACCGTGACACTACAATAACAACACACCATATCCAACTTCTTATATTGAGGCCACAGAACAAGAACTAATCATGGCATTATTTGCAAATCTTCTCTTGTCCCAAATTTAAAAGATACGCACGCGCGGTGGATAAACTTGACACTGCGCTCGCTCACTGCGCTTTGCACCGCGCATAGGTATAGGTATTCAACCGATTCAACGGCGGGAGCGGTCATTGCTCCCGACCGCTCGTCTTCTGTTTTTACGTTTTTTTAGTAGTGCTAATTAGTTGTTTTTTACTTACTCTGTATGAGTGTTTAAAAAGAATAATTATTTAGTACCCAAAAGGAGATTAAAATATAACAAAAAAAAACGAAATTTTATTTTAAATCATTTTTAAAAAATCCGAAAAAATTCAGAGATACTCTATATACGTAACCCAATAATCCCACGAAGTTTCATTGAAACATTCAATTTCACCCTGTATAAAACTCAAAGATGACTGACTGACTGACATAGTGATCTATCAACGCACAGCCCAACCACTGGACGGATCGGACTGAAATTGGGCATGCAGGTAGATGTTATGACGTAGCCATCCGCTAAGAAAAGATTTTGATCAATTCTTCCCCCAAGGGGATAAAATAGGGAATAAAAGTTTGTATGAAACTTTGTCAATTTTAAACTGATCGGGCTGAGACTTTGTATGTAGTTATAAGAAGAATCATAAATGAATGTCATTGTGTATAATACAAGCCTGAGAACAAAAACTGTAATCTACACTTCAGCTCTACACCGAAACGAAGCGAGGGCGGGCCGCTAGTCATAAATAATTCTTTTATTTCATACTCGTGTCAGAGTAATGAATCACAAAATTTGATCTGATATTGTAGATAATTTGTTTTTTTATTTGATATTGATTGTGTGAACTGCGAATTGGCAGATTATAATTTTTAACAGCTAACCAAAACGGATAGCTCACCTTTTTGTATATTTGTGTATTCAAAAGTCATCACAACGAACGGGTGCAAACATCCCAGTCCAATTTATTTAGCAATCAAGTGCCAGCCGACGGGTATGTGTTTGCTGCTCGTTTTTTTTATCGTTTTTTTTTTACTTATCATTGATTAATAATGAATCTGTATTAATGCAACGATTGAACAGGTTCTTTGAAGTGTATATCTTAATCAGCAAACACATCCAAATGACGTTGACCAAATTATAAATGTAAAATATTCAGACTCAGATTAAAGACCTTTTGTTCTACGAGTATAATCTGAGTATTAATTAATTTATTAACTTGCATTAGCTAAATTTAAACTTTAACAAGGAAAATACTAAATTTACGCCAAAACAAAAAAGAATCGGAAGAAATCACGAATTCTTGTCATGATACCCTTATGACATGAATTTGTAATTTCTTCGGGAAACATGAGACGCGAGTAGATATTATTTTCATTGTGGCTTGAATAATGATTCACTCGTTCTATCGTTCCATTAAAAACAAACGCACATTCGTTTTTATATTTGGAACGATCGGTTTTCGTTTTTCGTATTGTTTCATGTTACATATTACGTCGATGAAAGTGCTTTTATTGTTATTTTATTCAATCAACGTAAGATAGTTATGTACGTCTCATTGTTCTGTTTAGTAACAATAAAGGCCAAGTATGAACCGTCCAATCAAAATCAAACGAAACCAATCTATATATAAATATATATAAAACTCAAAGGTGACTGACTGCCTGACATAGTGATCTATTAACGCACATCCCAAACCACTGGACGGATCGGGCTGAAATTTGGCATGCAGGTAGATGTTATGACGTAGGCATCCGCTAAGAAAGGATTTTGATCAATTCTACCCCGAAGCGAGGCGAGGGCGGGTCAGTTTAAAAAATATAACGAAATGAAAATAAACTTTATTGAAATTGACTTATTGAAAGCACTGTTGAAGCGTCTAATATATTTTTTTTCCACCACTTATTCAGGACATATTTTAGCTAATAAGAAGAATGAGCGTAAGAAACTTATCAGCATTTAAGATAATTTTTGCCTTCCCTGTTTCTATTTTATTAGGGCGATACAAAATGTAACCTTTATCCTTTATAATCCGGTCAAATTAGACAGAAAAACAAGACTTAACTCTTGGTGGCTTCTAGGAAAAAATATTGATACATTTTGTAGATAATTTTACCATATTTATGATCAAATAATTTTACCATATCGTTTTGATGAAAATAGCAGAAACCTCATTTTTTGACCTTCCTTTGCCGGAACGATAAGGGATTTGAAATTTTATTTTTAATGATGTTTTGAACAATTTTACCCACTTTCAGCTTGATGTAAATTTAGGTACCGGATGTTTGAATGACCGGATTATTACTAAAAATTCTTTTATACCCATACTAAAATTCACCAGAAGAATCTCAGAAGTTTAGACGTAAAAGCTAAATATCCACCCTGTTTCTTTCTTCAGACGAACTTTGTGGTAGAGTGGTAAGCACTGGCTTTGGAAGTGCCGCCTACTAAGAGGTTCTGGTTCCGAATACTGCCTGTCATTGGATGGGTGACCAAAAACTTATTATAGCTCGAGCTCCTCCGTGCTTCGGAAGGCATGTTAAACCGTTGGTCCCGGCTGCATCTGCAGTCGTTAGTACCCATGAAACCGCAGTCTGTCCCCGTGGGGGGACACGGCATAGTTTCCCTACTCCATCCATAGGAAAGGCCTATACTCATACAGTGGGAACATTATAGGCTGATGATGGCTCACACCAAAGCCTTTTTTTTGTGTCTGGAAAATGCCTTACGCATCCTTCAACCACTGGGGGAGCGAGAAGAAAGTATGTGGGACTCCTCCCCGTCCTCTTCAGCCAGCCCTGGAGCTCGCTGATGTGAACAGGGCCCTACCTACGCCCTGAACAGGGCCACTAAAAACCAGACAATACTCCTGCACCGTCACCCAACACGCACTATGAAGACCGCGGTCCCCCTAGTGCATGCCGAGAGGGCGGGTGTGGTCGCGGAACCCGTCTCCGAATGGCCGCGCATCACACCAAAGCCTAGCCCCAAAGTAAGCAGCGTAAAGTTTTACACAAGTCTTATAGCGCTTACTTTAGGGAAACAAACAATGATTAATATAAGTTACAGATTTATTTATAACATGTATGAACTTTTTCGATTCCAGTGGACGGAGGGTTCTCGCGTAAAGCCTGCTGGTGGGACTTCGCTCGGCATCTGGACCGCTTGGACGCGGTTCTCTTCACCAGGCTCAACAACTGCTCCGCATCAGGCATGGCGGCGGTACTACGCAGGAAGGCCACCGCCAACGTCTACCCGCAGATAGGACACTTCTTCTGCAACTTGGAGGTAATCCACAAAATCCTATTGCACGCGTTACCATTTTCTATGTCTGGGAATGCCTTACGCATCGTTAAACCACCGGGGAAGCGAGAAGAAGGTATCTGAGACCAGGGCTTGTTTACCGGTTAATTTTCAAACCTAAATCAGTGTGAAGTACATTAGGAGCGTTTTATATAGGTTTGGCTCTACCTTAACCTCAAAAAAACCGGTTTTTCTAAAAAGCGAAATCGACAAGGTTTTGAATCAATTTAGCGGTTTTTAACGGGTTTCATTTCGCTCTTACTGACGGCTGAAATAAATACACAACTACAAAATGAATAACTTCACTCACTAGGCGCTAGCAAACGTGTCAATAAATGCATCAATCTCTGAGCATTAACAAGTTGTGACTTGATTAGTTCAAACAAAACAAACTTCAAGCGATACCGATGCGTGCATTGTCGCTCTGGATTAAACCGGTTTATTAAGGTTTTAGGTACCGCTTTCATTTCGGACGAGCTCCGAACAAAACCTTTACTAAAAACCGGTATTAACCTTTATTTACCGGTATTTTTGAAACCGGTTTCAAGCCCGGTCTTCCCTGCTCATTTCAGTCATTCCTGGGGCTCGATAATGTAATGAGCAGGGACCTACCTAATGCTCTGAACAGGGCCAGTAAAAACCAGACAATACTCCGGTCATCCGGTATAAATTCATGAAAAAAATTAAAATGAAAATCGTTTTTATTTCCCAAAGAGTCAGAATACAGTACAAGTTGAGACAACCCAGGAAGTAATAATTAATACTTGTGTTGGGATGCCTCGCTCTTAGCCTAGTGCAGTTAACAAATTTTGGGCACATAGCAAGTAATTTCTTAAAGTATCAGGTGCATTTGTAAAAGTGTGTGTGTGTATGAATGTGTGTGTGTGTGTGTGTGTCTGTGTGTGATGGAGAATAAGTGCGTGAATGTGTGTACCGTTTCCGACTGTCCTCGCAGATCACACACCGTAACCTACGTAATATTGGAAGAATATTGACAGTTACAATATTTGCCAAATAAAAAGAAGAAGAAGATACTTCAAGAAGACCATTATAACACTACTTAGCTGGTGTTGTAGTTCTGTTGTTAAGTAGCACCTGTGATCGCCAATTTTATAGTAAAATTTAGCTACTCAAAAATGAGTTCGACTGCAATCTATATATATATATATATATAACTCAAAGGTGACTGACTGACATAGTGATCTATCAACGCACAGCCCAAACCACTGGACGGATCGGGCTGAAATTTGGCATGCAGGTAGATGTTATGACGTAGGCATCCGCTAAGAAAGGATTTTGATCAATTCTACCCCCAAGGGGATAAAATAGGGAATGAAAGTTTGTATGAAACTTTGTCAATTTTAAACCGATCGGGCTGAGACTTTGCATGCATAAGAAGAATCATAGATGAATGTCATTGTGTATAATACAAGCCTGAGAACAAAAACTGTAGTCTATACTTCAGCTCTACACCGAAGCGAAGCGAGGGCGGGCCGCTAGTTGATAATAAGCGTAATAAATAGGTTGAGTGATATCCTTTAGAAAGATAGAAATGTTTATGATTTTTTTACGCCATTCGCCAAAATATCATTATGGTCTTCTGTTACTTAGAGTGTCTGGTGGTGCAGGCTTACGGTTACTATTTAAAAATTTTAAAAGTCCTGACAAAAAGCCGGACTTTTCGATAAAAGTCCGTGTCTAAACACAAAATGCAAACATCACCCACTTAGTTACAGTGATATTTTCGAGGGCGGTCTCGTTGTTGATTTTAAAAGATAATTTAATTGTTTAGTAAATAAGATGGCAAACAGTTCAATGACACTGTATTTAATGAATTCAAACACATAAACACAATTAAATAAAAGGTTTCTTAGCTTAAGAACAATAACTGCTCATCAAATATAAATTAGTACGCGCAGGAGTCCTTGATAAAGCCAAAGTATGGCGTCCCGAAAACGGATACCAAACTATCCTATTTTATTTAATCATAATTATCGCTATAACGTGCCGGCCTTACGCCTCTATTTAGCCGTAGGTGCAGTCTACGGGCGTTGTCTGTGGGCGAGAGGACTGTGTTATGGTTAGTACCACCGTCCTCTAATAGATGGCTCTGCCGGTTCCATATATATATTTTGTTTTAAATTAATGAGAACATAATAAACATTATTTGACTTATTTGATATAACTTCATAAGTAGGTGTACTCATATCCCATCTAATAAAAAAATCTTGTCAAATGAAAAAGCCGGATAAAGTCCGGACATAGGGCAAAAAGTCCGGACATGTCCGGAAAAGCCGGTATAATGGTAACCCTATGCAGGCTATATGCTGCGTAGAAGCTTACCGCCGAGTTGACCTCATACTTGATTACCACTTTTGTTATGTTAAAATACCAGACAAGTCGAATTCAGAAATGGCAGAACTTAGATCAGTACCCCTAGCACGAACCATTATCGAATTCGAATAGTTTGCAAACCGAAATGACAATGTCAAATTTTGTATGGAAACTTGAACAGCAGCGGCACAAAGTACGTAACGAGAACTAAAAACCAGTACACATTTGACAATGATATTTCGGACTCGCAAACGATATGAATTTGATATTGGCTCGTGCTAGGGGTACGGTAAGTACCCCTAGCACGAGCAACTAGCGATAAAGTACCCATTTGTAAGCCACCGTCAAAGTTGCTATGAAAAGTAAAGAAGAACAAACTATCTCCTTCCACAGAAATTTTGACGATGACGATACGAATACTTTCTCGCTAGTTGTTCGCGCTCGGGGTACGGACAGGATAGTCTAAGAGCCAGTGGACGGCTACCTGTATGTATTTGACTACACCTGGGGTTTTGTACAGTGTACAGTTCACTAAGCCCCAACTGGTGGATGCGGCGCGTGCTCAGGTAAGACTGGTATCGATTTTTGGCGAATTTGAAATACAATAATAATAATAAATCTTTATTGAAACACAAAACATTTGTACACAAACACAGTTGGCGTTAACATCCGCAGTAGTCGAAGACTGTGTCGCAGATGTTAGCGCCCACCTCTGAACAGACGGGCGTTTCAGACATACATATTGTATTGACCAAGTAATTCTTACCCGACTGCGCAATGCAAGAGCGTGAAGCGCGACGCGCAGACAGGGTTATGTGTTTAACAGTCTATATATGTATGTTTGTTCCTTTGTGGCACACTAGAGACTAAACGCCTGAACCGATTTTGATGATTCATACATTAATCGATTCGTCTCAACCATGGGAGTGCTACTAAAGATATGATAGTAATCAAAATTCAATATGGGCAAAATTAGGCGCCATATTGTGACGAAGTAAAAAAAATAAGTTGACAAAATATGTCGAGTGGGGTATCACTGTCTAGATAATCGAAAATCATGTTTAGGTTCCTAACACCATTTTTCATTTTATATGATTGTTTTAAGATGTACAGCGCTTTAAAGTTGTATATTAACCACTTGCGCTTTTAATTTCAATCTTACGTTTGTATAGATCTTTGTTATTCTTTCACCTAAAAAATACTGAATGGATTTTAATGAAACTTAACAGTAATATAGCTCATATATGATAATAACATATATATAATAATTTATGTAGTTATTGAATGAATTGGCCAAAATATAACAATAAGTGTCACATAAGACGGGAAAAAATCTCCCATCTGCGAGCCATTTTGGTCTGTACTGCAAAAACAATAAAAGTTACATGAATGTAACGGAGAGTGAAAATGTATCTCTTAAATAGTTGTAAAAAAAGTCCGTGACACCATATATCTATTTTTAATGTGTAAGCTATTACCGCTAAAATAGTGAATCAAAACTAAAATATTATTTGATATCTATTTCCAAAATGCACATTTTGTATTAACAAATTATTATATATATATATATTCAATCAAATTCGATTAACCTACACAAATACTAAACTATGTTAACAGAAATTCATGCATGTGTGTGTAGTAGTAGTGTGTAGTAGACAGACAGATACACATCTGTCTGTCTGTGTGTGTATGTGTGTGTGTGTGTGTGTGTGTTTGTAAGTGTGTACGTGAGTGTGATTAGTGTGTATTCCTTATGTAAATGCATTTACCACGTCTGCCGTTTTGATATTTGAAAATATATTATTATTGTTATTATCTAAAAATAACAATGGCAGATGGCAAAATAACAAGACCATTATCGCGCGTAGGTATAGGGGCCTCACTGTACAAAATCCCAGGTCTAGTCAAATACATACAGGTAGCTGTCCACTGGCTCTTAGACTAGGAGGCGCCTAGTCGCCGCCTGACGCCGCGGCTACGAAGGTCGGGTATCGAACGTGCAACATTACCCGCCGTTACGCGTCAAAGATTATCCTACCTGTTGTAAGGGCGCGTTCATTACGATACTTGTCAAAATTATACAAAATACTGTAATGCTTATCCTGAAATGATAGCCCTGGGGAACGTAGCTTGTAGAAGGCAGTTTTCTAACAATAAGATCACTTGGAATGCTCAACTTTGTTTATTTTAAATTCGAGAAAATTACAATCATTTACTATTGTTCTCATTTCTCTCATTTACTAACCGCTGTGTTCTGTGCCTGAATTTTATTTTATTCGGAAAACGTACAGTGTTTTTAACTGCAATTATAACTAAATGTAAAACTAGACACCATTAACACGTTTTCGCATATGACTTACAATACAAAGCTCATCGTTGAAACTATACAAGCAGTGCCAAAGTGAAAAATACAGGAAAGAAATAAGACTAGAGATAATTGAAATACAGCAGCAAGCGACGCTTAAAGCATGCATTCATTAAGCTAAGCAGTTTGAGAATCAGCAAACCAAAAACTGACTAAGTTATTTTTAAGTATTTGTGGTTTAGTTAGAAATAAGTCGAGTTGGGGGTAAGTTACTAGTTTGTTAATTTCTTTTGCATACCTTACGAAAAAAGAGTTTTGTCTGTAATTTGTACCGCATTGGGGAACATCTAAATATACCAATCGCCTTACGGTTTTGTTAGGGATTTTTATACTTATTTTTGAGAGTGAATCCGGCGAGTCAATGAGGCTGAGCGATTTTTGCCAGTAGTGAATTTATCTGCTGGAATGTTCGATATGAGACAAAAGATTCTCATATTCAAACTTTAAAATAATGACATTTACTTTTTAATAATGCGCTTCTGGCGTTACAGAACTCACTGAAAGAAAGAAAAGAGTTTTTATTAACCCTTAAAAAACACAACATATTTAATGGTAGGCAAAATAAAGGGGCTAACCAGGACCCTACCTCAGCATTAGCTGATGCGACATTGATCACACCAGCGCTGATATTCTGGCAGGGCCTGCTTAAAGTTATATAAAAACTTAAGTTAGAACACCATGTACAAGTGACGACATAAAAAATAGCGTTATTTTAACCACTTAGTGTCATAAATCCAAAATTAATTAAACACATTTAATCACGCAGTAACTATGTAACAGGTTGAATGGCTGTATGAACCTAAGATCTTATGATTACAAAGACAAATAAAATAAAAAAGTAAAATTCAAATATCGGAAACTCGCTAAAAACAAGGTATTTTACTTGACACTGGCTGAACGCACAAACCGTGCATGCCATAAAAAAAGAAAAAGAAGAAGAACAAGGTACATGGTAACAATCTCGTAAGTTACTTAAATTACTATAGTGTTAGTGACCATGAAAGTTTAAACAATATATATTAAATCTCTCGTTTGTGTAACTCTATGCCGTTGGGAGCGATCTATCCTGGCTGACAAAAAGTCCGCGAACATAAGTCCCTCGTCTGCGCAGTCCATTACTGTGGCTGTGTATTTTAATAGTCATTGCCACATTTTGGTCGCATAATGGCATAATGTTCATTCAACTAATGTCTCAAATTAGAGCTATCGAACTTGGTAATGAAATTTAATTTTACCGTGGGGCAATGCAATCTTTAAATTTATAACTCTTTTTCACTTCTACCGGTTTCTGACACGAAGCAAACTTAAAGTATATTAGTGTCAATAAAGTATAATCGTTAATAAAAAAATACAGATTCGTTAAGAGAAAATTAAGTACTTCGACAAACATGTCGTCTTCATAGAATCACTTCATTTGAATACCTATAAGAGAAAATGTAACTAGAAAAAAATCCACGCGGACCAGGCAGCAGACGGTACATGAACCCGCACCCTTCGCTATCCCGGCGAATGCACTGACCAATTATGCTACCGCGGCGCTGACGGCCGCGTCGAAATTCTTCTAGCCATTCTTAGGCTGCAAGGCAGCGCCATTTCTTCGCATTGTAGGTTATCCACAATGTCAAATACTTTTGCAAGTATTAAACATTTGAAAGAAGAGATAGCAATTATAGTTATATATTTTTAGCAGCCGGGACCGTCTGCTGCCTGGTCCGCGTGGAATTTTTTCTAGTTACATTATCTTTAGATTTAAACATCAAGCAGTTACATGCTTAAAAAAATATATACCTATAAGAGTTTAAAAAGCTTAGTCAGTTTAACTTTTTTTAAAATCTTTAATGGTATACATTCTTTATCATTTTCATGTGCATTATGACTGCATTCTACCTGCTTACTGAACCAAACCATATCAGGTTCCAACACGATAATATCAATCACAGTTGCATCGGAGTGCTTGTTTAGGGCAATCTTATAACTTTGTGAATTGATTTTATCATCTTTGTGAATATGTTGTGTGTTTCCTTCAAAATGCGATTTTAGGGTACGTACCTTTTAAAGAGTTGCTTTTACGATTATTAATTTACACAATTTGAGACAATGAACATGTTCTACCGGAACCGATTGCAATACACGGTGCCGTTCTCGAAGTTGTTCAAAAATATGTATACCTCGGGCAGACATTGCAGTTACGTAGAAACAACTTTGAGGACGAGGTGAATAGAAGAATTCAGCTAGGTTGGGCAGCATTTGGGAAGTAACGTCAAGTCTACTGACATCGTCGATCCCACAGTGCCTCAAGACGAAAGTCTTCAATCAGTGCGTCCTACCTGTGATGACATACGGAGCCGAGACGTGGACACTGACGGTACGGCTGGTCCACAAGTTCAAAATCGCTCAGCGCGCTATGGAAAGGGCTATGCTCGGTGTTTCTCTGAAGGATCGCATCAGAAATGAGGTAATCCGACAGAGAACCAGAGTTATCGACATAGCCCACCGGATTAGCAAGTTGAAGTGGCAGTGGGCTGGCCATATTTGTCGAAGAACCGATAACCGTTGGGATAGACGAGTTCTGGAGTGGAGACCGCGTCTAGGCAAACGTAGTGTAGGACGTCCTCAGGCGCGATGGAGTGACGATTTGCGCAAGGTGGCTAGCAGGAGCTGGATGCGAGTAGCCCAAGATAGGCTGTTGATGATGATGATGATGAGACAATTTTAATAAAGAAACTTAACTAGGGGTTATAAAAATAGCAAGGGGTTTTTTTAATAAAATATAACGCCAGCTTTCTGTCATTGATCTCAGCTCGTAAAAAAATTAAAATACATCAAGGAAGCCTTGATTGGATATAATATTTCATTTGCGTTAATTGTATAATAATAAAATATACTAGTGGTATGAATATATGGTGTCGCTAGAATTAAAATGTGTTAAGTAAAAAAAACTAACTAAATGACTCTAAAATGTAACTATAGTTACATTTTAGTACCAAATAAAACTCGCCATAGTACCAAATAAAAATTAATACAATAGAAATAGGTCTATATTACAAAAATACTTTTATTTCTATTGGTAAAAAATTATATGTTGTGGATTTAGTGATATTGTCATCAAGCTAATTTATAGGGTCTCTCTATTTCATAGGGTATTTGACAGTATTAAAAATAAATTGCCAATCGTTAGCATCTGTATTTAGAATGAATATTGACAGGAGTTTTTACTATTTTTACAGAAAAAAGAAATCATAATTTTACTAAAAACCCACGATAAAGATAATAGTTTTGCTTGTCCATTGTCACGTGACCCAAAACGCTTGGGATTGGTGGAGCCTAAAATGACGTCACACGCAAGTAAACTTCCAGTTAAAGTGACATTTGACTATATGGTTTGACGTTTTGATGACAGTCGTGTGACGTCACACACCAGTGAGACGCCATATTGTCCAGAGATACGTTTTTCGCGGCAACTTGAAAATAGAGTTTTTGATTTGGTTTTTTTTACCAAAATGCACAAAATAATGATGAATATCCAATTTATAGACTCTATAAAAATTAGTTAATAACGTGAGAGCGTTTTCTAAAACTTGTCAAATACCCTATTGGGCTAATAAGATTGGCTGTCTTTCGCTTTTTGTGTTTCTAGACTACTGTTAATTAGGGTTTTCTGGAACGACAGTCGTCAGGTTGCAGCACTGAAACAAAAGGTCTACTTATGCATCAAATCACAATAAATAATCTTAATGATATAAGTACCCTTAGTACGAGTTTGAGCTCACGAAAACTATCGTAGTTTTCGTAATTGTAAATTATGTTTTTATGTCCATTTTGGGTGAAAAGTAACCAAATATACTTAAAATTTAAGAAGACGCAAATGATTCAATCATAGAATTTGAACACTGTTTATTTGTATTGAAACGAAAACAATAAAATCAGTACCCATAGTACGAGTTCACGAAAACTATCATAGTTTTCGTAATTATAAAACTCGTACTAAGGGTAAAGTAATATATTGCATAAAAAATTATCTGCATTATAATTGAGTGACTTGTAAACAAATACATTCTAATTGTAACTAAACATTAAATTGACGAAGATTTGAGTGATTAGTAAAGAAATTGACATTATAAGTTAGTTGTAAGTAATAATTAACATTTAAATTTTCTAATATAAATTGATTTTATAAACTAACCATTATAAAATTTTAAAAACTAGCTACGCGGCACCTATTCCTGTTTCCCTATTAATATAATTAAATATTTCTATGTTCAGAACATAGTTATAAGTGTCCCTGTCCTTCCTATAATCTGAGGTCCTGTAAGAGAGGCGTGAAGAAGCATTTTTGCAGGCCGGCAAGGTGAGGATCATTGGTGTAGCAGTTTATAACTGCTGTACCAGCTATCTTCGCGTTTGGACTTTATTACCACTTAACATCAGGTGGGGTAGAGTCATTAGCCTACCTCTATAAAAACAAAAAAAAACTAAGATTGTTTCTCGCTTTTTTTTTGGCGTTCGGACGCAACTAGGCGCTGGCTGAAAATCAGCGCTGCTGTGGTATTGCCGAAGTACTACCACACTAGCATAACTGAGACAGCGACCAGCGTCATGTTTTTGTATAGTCTGTTTTGTTTTTAATGTATGCTGTGTAACCAATAAAATGTTTGCTCTCTTTGTTTTAATATAGAAACAGTATATGTAGGATAGGAAGATATAGAAATAAAGCAATTTGTATCCATAGAATATATGCTATTGCACTATACGAGTATAGTCTATGTGTCATTTTAAATCTTCTTTCGATTAATTAGCGCCAAAATCTTCATACAAAAAACCTCATGTCACAGTGGTGCCAACTGGCGACATAAACTTTCCCTAAATAACCTCCTTACTTCCGAACGTCGCTCAGCGTTTGATACTGATGGAGTGTTGGTTTGATCTATAGGAGCGTCGCCTGCTGGCGAGCCCTGACGGCGACAAGGACGCGGACCCGCTGCTGGTGTCGCTGCTGTCGGAGGGAGCCGACCTCATGGCCGACCTGCGCCGCCTGCACCTGCGCGCGCAACCCGCATACCGACGACCCGAGCCCCTCAACCTCTACCACAAGGTCGGCCACGGTACGTATGCTGCCTGTCACTGCACCCGCCTACCGACGACCCGAGCCCCTCAACCTCTACCACAAGGTCGGCCACGGTACGTATGCTGCCTGTCACTGCACCCGCCTACCGACGACCCGAGCCCCTCAACCTCTACCACAAGGTCGGCCACGGTACGTATGCTGCCTGTCACTGCACCCGCCTACCGACGACCCGAGCCCCTCAACCTCTACCACAAGGTCGGCCACGGTACGTATGCTGCCTGTCACTGCACCCGCCTACCGACGACCCGAGCCCCTCAACCTCTACCACAAGGTCGGCCACGGTACGTATGCTGCCTGTCACTGCACCCGCCTACCGACGACCCGAGCCCCTCAACCTCTACCACAAGGTCGGCCACGGTACGTATGCTGCCTGTCACTGCACCCGCCTACCGACGACCCGAGCCCCTCAACCTCTACCACAAGGTCGGCCACGGTACGTATGCTGCCTGTCACTGCACCCGCCTACCGACGACCCGAGCCCCTCAACCTCTACCACAAGGTCGGCCACGGTACGTATGCTGCCTGTCACTGCACCCGCCTACCGACGACCCGAGCCCCTCAACCTCTACCACAAGGTCGGCCACGGTACGTATGCTGCCTGTCACTGCACCCGCCTACCGACGACCCGAGCCCCTCAACCTCTACCACAAGGTCGGCCACGGTACGTATGCTGCCTGTCACTGCACCCGCCTACCGACGACCCGAGCCCCTCAACCTCTACCACAAGGTCGGCCACGGTACGTATGCTGCCTGTCACTGCACCCGCCTACCGACGACCCGAGCCCCTCAACCTCTACCACAAGGTCGGCCACGGTACGTATGCTGCCTGTCACTGCACCCGCCTACCGACGACCCGAGCCCCTCAACCTCTACCACAAGGTCGGCCACGGTACGTATGCTGCCTGTCACTGCACCCGCCTACCGACGACCCGAGCCCCTCAACCTCTACCACAAGGTCGGCCACGGTACGTATGCTGCCTGTCACTGCACCCGCCTACCGACGACCCGAGCCCCTCAACCTCTACCACAAGGTCGGCCACGGTACGTATGCTGCCTGTCACTGCACCCGCCTACCGACGACCCGAGCCCCTCAACCTCTACCACAAGGTCGGCCACGGTACGTATGCTGCCTGTCACTGCACCCGCCTACCGACGACCCGAGCCCCTCAACCTCTACCACAAGGTCGGCCACGGAACGTATGCTGCCTGTGTCTGCACCCGCTTACCACCGCCCCGACCAGTGAGGTAGGGCATAGCTGATTTTCAATATTAAATTTAAGGTCGAGCACGTCCGTTTAATGAAATCCAGGCTCCGACCTACTCTGCTCGAATCTATAACAGCATCTGAAACGTTCCACTCCAATCTGGAGAACCGATTTGCTGACATGGAAACCACATCAGACGTAAACCAAAACCTCTAAAATGTGGTTCGGATCCTCAGAGAAGAGGGTACGAGATAAGTTAGCACGTACTACACGACCTCCGGTGCTCCAATACTCCCTCTATCGAGCAGAATCGAGGGTCCAAAGTGTTCGTACAATCTTCGAAGAAACGAGTACAAATGCTCGTATTCATCACACAAACATCTGCCCCCATCGGGATTCGAACCCGGAACCTCTTGAGACGGCAACACTATGAAATCCGGCGTACAAACCATTCGGCCACGGAGATAGTCGTCATTACGACTAGTATACTTACTGAATTTTCGAATACGAAGACTATGCGAGTCTTAGCATGGTAACGGTGTACAGAAGTCGCTTAAAAAATATGCTTTGTGCATCAGTCAGAATATTGTCCAATTATAACTACTATGAGCTTAAACTTATATTTATTGCACACAGCAGATATTTGGATACTAAATTTCGATATTGTTTGCTTCACGTAATCTTTAAAAATACATATATATGAATTTGTGAACCTTTTCTCTTTGATGTCGCTTCAACATATGAGATAAAACTTTTTGTGTCACCAACAATTTCAAAAAAATCTAATATGGTATTTTTAATTATATACTAATGGAACTTATTTTGTCGGTTTGTTTCAGGAACACTGGATATGTACGTACTGAATCCGTCCAAGGACTCCAAACATGTTCGTGAATTCCTCAAAAGGTGGCATAATAGTGATCAGAAACTTTTCGAAGGTGCAAGTGTGTCGGGACAGTTTAATTTTCCAATTCCTAACTTAGTATCTATCTGTGCTTTACTAGTATGGCGACCTGCAAACCCAGATGACACTATAACGAGGATAATGTTTCCTGGTTCGACGCCGCAACATAAAATATTTGAAGGATTAGAGAAATTAAAACATCTTGACTTCCTTCAACATCCGACATGTACGGGACGTCAGATGGCGGCAACAACAGCCCCCACAACAACTACTACGACGACAACGACAACTGTTACGACAACAAAATATTCGAAACATGCCACCCCTAAAGTTAGTAAAGAACGAAGTATTATTGCTGAAAAGGCCAAAGAAGATAAAATCTTAGAATCACAACCCTTACCTCCCAAAGATTTGTTAGTAAAAGATGAGACAGATTCGAAAAATTTAATTGATAATAAGTTACTCAGTGAATTAGTAGAGGGTGAAGAGAAGAAGATTGAATCGGTTTTACAAGACGCAATCACAGCAAGAATAGAAACTAAGCTTGATGATAAATTATCCCAATACGATAATACTGTACTAGACAGTTTATCTAAAAAGAAAGAAGTAAAGAAAAAAGAAAAGAAGGTAAAACGCTTCGATAAGGCTGATGATTTTAAGGACCCTATGGTTAAAACGACTGAAACTAAGAAAACTGATGTTGATATCAAAACTAAGACTGATATAAAAAAGAAATCAGAAATCAAAACCAAAACTGACATTGTTCCTTCCATTGCGAGAAATAAAATTAGTCATCGAACTGTTCTGAAACCAAGTGAGAAAAAAGCAACGCTAGAAAAAAGAACCCTTGGAGATGATAAAAAATCTCCACCAACAACACCTAAAAAGAGTTTCGAAACGAAAACAGTGTCTTCTACTCCGCAATCTGTAGTCAGAGAAAGGCTAAAGACAAAAACTAGAAAACTAAGCCCTAGTAGTACTCCTGCCAAAAGTGCCAAAGAAGCTAGTAATCGCAGGGTAGTAGAATCTAAATATAAACAAGGATCACCGAAACGAGATTTAAGTCAAAAAATACCAGAAAAGAAAGAACCAAAACCTAAAAGAGAACCAATTTCTAGAAGGCCACGCCCCTTGGCTTCACCTGTAAAAGGGTTAAAAGTAATGAAAAGTCCTACCAAAGCTGTCAAAGCATCAAAAACAGACGCGTCTAAATTAAAAGGTTTACAAAGAGTAAATTATGAAGATATTCTAAAAGATGCAAAGAAATCAGATGAAGACACGTCGAAATCATTAGATGAAATAAAACAACAGGAAATCGATGAAAGGGAGGAACAAGAGATAGTAAGAGAAATTGAAGCTGTTTTTAATAGAGATAGTGAAGCTGAAGAAAAATTGGAATATGTAGGGAGATCAGATATCGAAAAAATTACTTGTATGTTAGATGACACTAAGACTGAAACAACCGCTGATGGTGAATTTGAAGAAGAATACCTAATAATAGAAAAGGAAGAAGTTGAACAATACACGGAAGATTCTGTGATTGATCATGAAAGTAGTCAAGGTAATGAAGGAGAAGAACTTCAAAAACATTTGAAAGATAAAGAAGAATCTGAGAAAAAGAAAGAAAAATATGAAGAAATTGCGCAAAAAGAAACACATCCAGTCGGAGAGCTTGAAAATGACCAGAAGCAAACAGAATCTAAAGACCATTCAATAAGTGTTGAAGAAAAACAAGACATGAGTAGTGAAAAGAAAACTTCTGACAGCAAAAGTGGGGTGCCAAAACCTAAAGACTCTCTAGAACTAAATATTGTAGCGGAATCTCAACCCGATGAAAAAGTATCTACTACTATCGAATCTGGTGCCACAACTGCACCAACATTACCCGAAGATGAACGCATAACTCTGGATGATATAAAAGAAGACCAACAAATCGAGGAAAAACACATTCAAGAAATAACTAAAGAAGTTATTCCTCCACAGACGCTTGTCGACGTTCATACGGTAATATCAAAAGAGAAAAGTCCAAAACTTAGCTCAATGCCAGCTCCCGTGAGAGATATAGTTAAAACTCCGGACGAAGTTGCCGACTTACCACTACATGAAGAAGTAGATTATAGGACATATGAAGACAAGAAAACTCCGCTTGATGAAGATGTGTTCAAACGTAAACCTGATCTTGGTTTCGTTCACGAAATAAAGGTACCTAAAGATTTACCTTTACACGATCAAGAAAGCATGGTGACTTTAAAAGGTCCTAAAGCGATTGAGGATGATGTTGTTTTAAAAACAGTTCAGCGAGCGTCTCACGCTGAACTAGTAACGGTTACACCGGGATCTGCACCAGAGTCACCAATGAACCCAGTCCAACTTAAAGCCACATCGCTTCCCAACAAAGAATTAGAACCACTAAAAGAGTATGATGGGGTGGAGTACAATTTTACACCTTTCACTGAAAAATTAAGAGAAACACACATTACTACAGTAGATTCTCCTATAAAGGATGATATCATAGTTATAGATGAAGTGCCTTGTATGCCAGAAAAAATTCCTTCGATTCCTGAGGACGTCGAAAAAGAAATCGAAGAAGAACAAATACATGAAACAACCGAGAAACCTCCACTTAGTCCTATAGATGTAGAAAAAATTGTGGCCGACGTTGCCGAAGTTTTGAAATCTGAAAAGAGCCTTGAAGAAATAATGGCAGAAAAATCTCCAGTAGGTCTTCGTAAATCTCCAGATGACTTTTCAAGGACAGACATAAATATCACGTTAGCAGCTGAAGCTACTAAAATGCTTTTATCACATGAGCAACAGGCAATACTTAAAGAGAATTTACAAAAGAAAGATGTTCCCATTGAAGAGAAAAAGGATTCAATTTCGATAAAAAAAGAATGTTCACCATCCAGATCTATTACGTCAGAAGATATTAGCGAATCGTCAGACAAGACAGTATTAAGTGAAGGTAAAAGAATAAAACGCGATACCAAAGAAGAACAATTATTTTTGGAATCTTCTGAAAAATCTATCCCAGTGTTACACGAAACTACTGATATTTCAGTGGAAAATAGAGATAACCAAGAATTTGATACAATCTATACTTCAAAAACTATTGATGATCCTAGAACCGTAGAAATTGATAGATTGGACACTCAAATATCAGAAAAACTTGAAATTACTGAAAGACGCCTGAGCTCAAGTTTAGAATCTGCCAAAACATTAGAGAAATTGGAGGAAAAGATGGCTGATTTGAAACGCAAAGAAGAAATTATAACTAAAGAATTATTTAACGGTGAGGCTCTTACAGATGCTACACCTGTAAAAGAAGCTCCAACAGGAGCAGAACCATCAACTACTGACACCGTCGATACTAAGACAACAAGCCCGGCAGTTTCGAAATCTCGTCTCAGCTCAGTTCTTATCAAAGAACTTGGTTCAGAGATAGAGAAAACGATGAAAGAAAAAGAAAACCAAGTAAGTATTTCCTTAAAAGATGAAGATAAAGATGAAGATGGGTTAAAAAGTCCAGAATTAATACAAGATATTGATAAGTTTGAAGACAAAGATTTCACCAAATCAAAGGATGATATTTCAGTGGAATATGGAGAAATTATAAAAGAAGCTGTACCACTTTCTCTTAAAGAAGGTGAAAAACAATTGATAGACGAAAAAGATAGTGACGAAGAAAGTGCTCGAGATGATTACCAAGTAGAATCTAGCACAATTCTGAAGTCGGAAAAAACTGATGAAAATTCACAAACTTTAACAATGAAACCTATTTCGAGCGAGAAATCATTGCTTGAAATAGCAAAACAAGTGGACTCTGCAAGTAATGTTGTCTTAGATGAACTTAATACCATTTCTAGCAAACTTGATAATGTGCAAGTAAGTTTAGATAACGATATTAAAATAAGATCAGAGGAGCTTTCTAAAAAAGTTGATGGTGAACTTAAGGATGAAGAAAACCCTGTTTCTGTCTATACTAAACAATACATAACAGAAGAAGATACTATACAATTAGATAAAAAAATACCGGAAGCGCTGATAAGTCCAAAAGAAAAGAGTATATCTGTTATTGAAAGCAATGAAGAAAGTCCACCGTTAAGTGAAAAAGATTCAATCACTACAACAGAAGAGGTAACAGAAAAAGAAACGACTGCTGAAAAACAATCGAAAACTAAAAATGAAGATTTGATATTTGTAAAAGACGAAATTGAATCTCAACATAATGACTATGAAATTATTGAAAAACCAAAAGAAACCTTAACAAATATAATATTGCAAGCATCAACTACAGTGAGCAAAGCTGAAGCGAATGACGATAACTCTTCTACAGATACGACGCCAATTGCAAAAGTAGAAAGTTCATTAGAACATAGAACAAAAGATGAAATAACGATTGAAGAAAAAATTTCTCCTCTACCAGAAAAGTCCTTACAAATATCAAAAATTGACGGAAAAGATCAACACACTTCAGATGCTGCAGAATCAGACAAAGCTGAAAAACTGCAAGATATACATATAGTTTTAACAGCACATGATAAACAAGTTGAAAACGAATCATCTACACAGAAAGAAATCAGAGAAGAACCGAGTCCAACTGCAGTCATTGACAAAATGTGTGTAACCACATTACATAAAGAAGACAAACAGGCAATAGAATCAGCACCTGCTGTAGAATTAAAAGACGAAAAATTGGAAGACAAACATAAATTTTCTCCCGTACATGATAAACCAAGTGAAAGTTTAGAACAGAAAGAAAACAAAGAAGAAATTAGTTTGGCTGCAGTTGTAAAGGATGAACATTTACAGGAGCCTTTGCCTGCATCGGAACAAAAAAAAGAAGACAAAATCATCAAAGAAAAGACATCCCCAACAACGGAAAATACGGACGAGGTGACAAAGAAACCACTGACTGACGGAGAATTCACTTGTAAGAAACTTTCTCCTTTAACCAACAAAGAAGTGAAAGTTTCTCCTTTCGAAATAGAAAGTAAGCCTGTGGCAGAATTAGTTGATGAAAAAAGTAAACAAGCTTTAGATATAGCACCTGTGGAAGAAATTAAATTAGTAGACAAACATAAAGTCTCTCCCGTGCATGATAAACCAGGGGAACTAAAACCATCAATACAGGAAGATCAAAAAACAGAAATTAGTGTGGCAACAGTCCTTGAAGGTGAATTAGGGACGTTGTCTTTGCCTGCATCAGAACAGCAAGTCATAGTAGAGAGATTTTCCGTAAAGACAGAAAAAGTTTCTCCTTTAGAGAAAGGTGGTGAACCTGGAGAAGAACCTATATTTGGAAAAGAACAAAACCTTTTTATTGATTCAGCACCTACTGCCGTAGTGAAAGACACTAAATTAGTTGACAAAGTTTCTCCCGTACATGATAAACCAGAAAGAAAACCATCAATACGGGAAGAGAGCAAAGAAGAAATTACTGTGACGGCAGGTGTTAAGAGTGACTTACAGGAGGTGTCTTCGCCTGAATTGGAACAGAAAAAAGATGACAAAATTACCAAAGATAAGATATCCCCAACAACGGAAAAAACTGTAGAAATATCTCCTTTACAGGAAGAAAGTCCGTCTACTGAAGGCTTAGTCATTGAAAAAGGAGATGTAGATATTATAGATAAAGCACCTCTTGTAGAAGTGAAAGATGTAAAATCTGAAGATGAACATAAAGTATCTCCCGAACATGACAAGCCAAGTGAAAGAAAACTTTCCCTGCAGGAAGACATCAAAAAAGATATAAGTTCATCAAAGAACATTGAAAGTCAGCTAGACGAGGTGACTTCACCTACAACAAAGCAAAAATTGGCTGACGAAGAAATCACTTATGAGAAAATTTCTCCTGTAACACAGAAAGAAGTGAAAGTATCTCCTCTCGAAATAGAAAGAAAGCCTGAGGTAGACTTAATTGATAAAAAAGATAAACAAGTAGATTTAGCACCTTTGGCCGAAGCGAAATTAGTTGAAGAACATAAGACCTCTCCCGTACATGATAATCCAGTTGAACCAAAACCATCAATACAGAAAGATAGCAAAAAGACAACGGCTGTGACTGCCATTATTGAGAGTGAATCACACGAGGTGCCATCGCTTGTATTACAACAAAAACTGCATGACGATAAAATCAATGAACAGCTGATTACCCAATCAACAAAAAAAAGTGAAGACGTATCTCCTTTCAAGAAAGATGATAAACCTAAAGAAGGTTTAGTATTTGATGAAGATGATAAAAGCTTCAAAGATTCAGCACCTGCTACAGAAGCAAAAGATTCTAAATTGGTAGATGAATATAAGACAGATATCAAACAAAAAATAAGTCCAGCAAAAGAAATTGCAAATCAGCTAGATGAGGTAACTTCACCTACAACAAAACAGAAATTGGTTAAAGAAGAAATCACTCATGAGAAAATTTCTCCTGTAACAGACAAAGAATTGAAAGTATCTCTCGAAATAATAAGTAAGCCTGAGGAAGATTTATTCGATAAAAAGTTTGAACATGCTTTAGATATAGCACCTGTGGCTGAAATGAAGTTGGTAGCACAACATAAGACTTCTCCCGTGCATGATAAGCCAGTTGAACCAAAACCATCAATACAGGAAGATAGCAAAAAGATAGCGGCTGTGACTGCAGTTTTTGAGAGTGAATCATACGAGGTGCCTTCACCTACATCAGAACAAAAAGTGGACGATAAAATCAATGCACAGCTAATTACCCAAACAGTAAAAAGTGTAGAAGTATTTCCTATACAGAAAGAAGGTAGGCCGAAAGAAGGCTTAGTATTTGATAAAGATGATAAAGGTATGAAAGGTTCAGCACCTGCTGCAGAAGTAAAAGATGCTAAATTGATGGACGACTATGAAGATTCGTCCGTAGATGACGAACCAAGCGAAGGGGGACTATCTCCAAAGACAGATATCAAACAAGAAGTAAGTCTGATAAAAGAAAATGAAAGTAAGCTAGACGAGGTGATTTTACCATTATTAAATAAAGAATTTGCTGACAAAGAATTTACTTGTGAGAAAATTTCTCCTTTAACCGACAAAGAAGTGAAAGTTACTTCTTTTGAGAGAGAAAATAAGCCTGAGGAAGACTTAATAGATGAGAAATGTAAACATGTTCTAGATATAGCATCTGTGGGAGAAATGAAATTGGTCGACGAGCACAAAATCTCTTCCGTGCATGATAAGCCAGGTGATCAAAAACCATCAATACAGGAAGAGCCAAAAGCAGAAATGAGTGTGACAGCAGTCCTTGAAGGTAAAGGTCCAGAACAGCAAATGGATGTTAAAATCACTGATGATGTAATTTCCTCAAAAATAGAAAAAAGTGGGAAAGCTTCTCCTTTAGCGAAAGATGGTCAACCTGGAGAAAAACATATATTTGGAAAAGAACAAAATCTTCTTATTGATTCAGCACCTGCTGCCGTAGTGAAGGGCACGAAATTGATTGACGTACATAAAGTTTCTCCCGTACATGATAAACCAGATGAAAGAAAACCATTAATACCGGATAAGAGCAAAGAAGAAATTAGTGTTACGGCAGGTGTTAAAAGCGACTTACAGGAGGTGCCTTCGCCTGAATTGGAACAGAAAAAAGATGACAAAATCACCAAAGACAAGCTATCCCCAACAACGGAAAAAACTGCAGAAGTATCTCCTTTACAGAAAAAAAGTGAGCCTACTGATGGCTTAGTCATTGAAAAAGAAGATATACATATTACAGATAAAGCACCTCTTGTAGAAGTGAAAGATGCAAAATCTGAAGACGAGCATAAAGTATCTCCCAAACATGACAAGCCAAGTGAAAGAAAACTTTCCCTGCAGAAAGACATCAAAAAGGATATAAGTCCATCAAAGGAAATTGAAAGTCAGCTGGACGAGGTGACTTCACCTACAACAAAGCAGAAATTGGTTGAAGAAGAAGCCACTCATGAGACAATTTCTCCTGTAACAGACAAAGAAGTGAAAGTATCTCCTCTCGAAAAAGAAAGTCAGCCCGAAGTAGACTTAATTGATAAAAAAGAGAAACATGCTTTAGATTTAGCACCTGTGGCCGAAATGAAATTAGTAGGAGAACACAAGATCTCTACCGTGCATGATAAGCCAGTTGCACCAAAACCATCAATACAGGAAGATAGCACAAAGATAATGGCTGTGACTGCAGTTATTGAGGGTGAATCGCACGAGGTGCCATCGCCTGCATTAGAACGAAAACTGGACGATGAAATCAATGAACAGCTAATTACCCAAACAATTGAAAAAAGGGAAGTTGTATCTCCTTTACAGAAAGATGATAAGCCTAAAGAAGGTTTAGTATTTGATGAAGATGATAGAGGTTTCAAATATTTTGCATGTACTACAGAAGCAAAAGATTCCAAATTAGTAGATGAATACGAGACAGATATCAAACAAAAAATAAGTCCAGCAGAAATTGGAAATCGGCTAGACGAAATGACTTCACCAACAACAAAGCACGAATTAGATGACAAAGAAGTCACTTGTGAGAAAATTTCTCCTGTAACAAACACAGAAGTAAAAAGTGAACCTGAGAAAGATTTCATTGATAAAAAAGATAAACCTGCTTTAGATTCAGCACTTGTTGCAGAAGTGAAAGATATGAAATTGGTAGATGAACATAAAGTTTCATCCGTATATGATGAGCCAGGTGAACGAAAACCATCTATACAGGAAGAAAAAAGAAAAGAAATGCTTGTGACAGCAGTTCTCGAAAGTGAGCTGGAGGCGGTATCATTGCCTGCTTTAGAGCAGCAAACGGACGTCAAAGTAACTGAAGAGAAAATTTCCTCAACAACAGAAAAAAGTGTGAATGTTTTTCCTATAGAAGAAGATGATAAACCTGGAGAACTAATATTTGAAAAAGACGGAAAACATGTTATAGATTTGGCACCTGCTGAAGAAGTGAAAGACGCAAAATTGGTTGCTCAACATAAAATTTCTTTTGTACATGATAAACCCGATGAAAGAAAACAATCAGTTCGGGAAGAGAGCGAAGAAGAAATGAGTATGACTGCAGATGTAAAGAGTGACTTAAAGGAAGTGTCTATGTCTGCATCAGATCAGACAGAAGATGACAAAATCACCAGAGATAGGTTATCTTCCACAACAGAAAAAGATAAAGAAGCATCTTTTTTACAAAGAGAAGGCAAGCCTACCGATGGATTAGTATTTAAAAAGGAAGATATAGCTATTATAGATTCAGCAGCTGTTGGAGAAGCAAAAGCTGAAAAATCGGTAGACGAAGATAAAATATCCCCCGTACATGACAAGCCAAGTGAAAGAAAACTATCCCTACAAAAAGATATCAAAAAAGAAATAAGCCCATCAAAAGAAATTGAAAGTCAGCTAGATAAGGTAACTTCCCCTTCAACAAAGCAGAAATTGGTTGATGAAGAAATCTCACTTGAGAAACTTCCTCCTGTAACAGACAAAAAAGTGAAAGTATCTGCTCTCGAGATAGAAAGTAAGCCCGAGGAAGACTTATTTGGTAAAAAAGAAAAAGTTGCATTAGATTTAGCACCGGTAACCGAAATAAAATTTGACAAACAAGACAAACATGCTGCAAGTAATATTCATGTTGCAGAAGAAAAAGACTCAATATTGATAGACGAATATGAAGAGTCTCCCGTTCATGATGAAGCAATTGAAAGGAAACCATCAATACATGGAGATAGCAAAAAAGTAACGGCTGCAGTTATTGAGGATAAATTAGACAGAGTGCCTTTGCCTGTATCAGAACGAGAAAAAGATGAAAAAATCAACGAAGACATAATTTACCAAACAACAGAAAAAAGTTTAGAAGTATCTCCTTTAGAAAAAGAAGATAAGCCTAATGGAGACTTAGTAGTTGATAAAGACGATAAAGGTATTAAAGATTCGGCACCTGCTGCAGATGTCAAATATGCTAAACTGGCGGATGAAAATCAAGGTTCTCCAATGCGCGATCAACCAAGTATAAAAATACCATCTCCAATGACAGCAGTCGATCCTATAACTTATTCAATTGACGATACACAAACTAAAGATGAACCACTACCACAAGAAAGCGAGCGAGAGATAAGTTCGACTACATTAATTGATGATGCGCTAGATAAAATACCGGAACTAAATAAAAAATCTTCACTTTTAGAAAAAAATATAACAGCTTCCTTTTTGGAAGAAGAAAGAAGGTATGAAGTTATTCCTATAATCAAGAAAAGAGATAAATATGATATAGATGCACCTGCGACAGAAGCATCTACGATAAATTTACCTGTTAAAGAAGTAGGCAAAATTGTAGAACCGTTAGACCAACACAAAGACAAAGAAGTAGAACCTACTGGGGGTTCACCTGCGTTTGCAGATGCAACGATAGATGGCATACCAGTGGGCATGCGAGAAATATCCCCAGAGCAAGAAAAAACAGATAAAACAGGAACAACAGTTCATGACCGGAAAGTTTCTCCTGTGGTTGAAAAATTGACTGAAATCACATCATCTCCACAGTTGGAAAGTCATCTAAAAATAAGTCCAACTGCTGAACATAAACTTGCTGTAGACAAAGTGCCAGCATCCGTAGCGGAACAAAAACCGGACGATAAAATTAGCACTGAGGAGACAACTTCTATAATAAAAGAAACCCGCGTGGTTCCATCTTCAGAGGAAAAGATTCGGCAGGAGACAAGTCTAGCGCATTTATACAAAGATATTCCAGTATCAGCAACAGTTTCTGAATCGCAGAAAGACGGCAAATCAATAGCAGAACATGTAATTTCTCCCATAAAACAAAGTGAAAGAGAACTAATTCCGCAAACAGGCAGCAAGAAAGAAGCAAGCCCGATTGCACCTACACATGAACACAAAATGGATGAGAGGAGCCCTACTAAAGAGGAAGTTGACATTGGTCCAATAAAAGAAATCATGCCTGAAGTAAGACTGATATTAGAAAAAGCAGATGACTATATCAAAGACACAGCTCCAGAAGCAGACGTAAAAGATGAAAAACCGATTTACGATCATAAAGTTTCTCCTGTGCTAGAAAACCTAGCTGAAAGTGGGTTATCTCCACAGAAGGAAGGTGAACTACAAATAAGTCCAACTACAGTACATGAACAGCCTACAGCCCCAGCGAAACAAAAACAAGTAGACAGTCCGACAACATCTCCTCTAAAATATAAAACAGTAGATGATATCACGACTGAAAAGGAAATATCCCCAACAATTGAAGAGGATCTAATAAAATCTTCAGAAATAGAAAGCAAGTCTAAAGATGAACCAATATTTAGAAAAAAAGACATGCATGCAAAAGACACTGCACCAGTCACAGAATTAGTAAAAAGTGAAAAACCTTTAGACGATGAAAAAGCTTCTTCTGTGCTTAAGACACCAGTTGATGAAAAAATATCTCCCCATTTGGAGAGCAAGCAAGTAATGAGTCCAACGTCACCTCATCTGGAACATAAAACAGTTGATGAAATCATTACTATGACAGAAATTTCTCCAACAATGCAGAGAGATCTAATAAAATCCTCAGAAAAAGAGAGCAAGCCTGAAAGTGAAACTATATTCAGAAAAGAAGGTAAGCATACTAAAGATGATTCACCTGTCACAGAATTAGTTAAAGATGGTAAGCAAGTTGACGATCATAAAGTTTCTCCTAAGCTTGAAAAACCTCTTAAAAAAGAATTATTCCCACAAGTGGAAAAGAATCAGGAAATAAGTCCAACTGCAGTACATGAACATCCTACAGCTGAAGGGGAGAAGATAACGGACAGCAAACAAGTGCACAGTGTGACTGCACCGCCCCTAGAACATATAACAATCGATGAAATCACAACCTCAAAGGAAATTTCTCCAACAGTCGATAAAGACCAAATAAAATCTTCAGAGAAAGAAAGCAAGGCTGAAAGTGAAACGCTATTCAGAAAAGACGGCAAGCATACCACAGACGATGCACTTGTCACAAAATTAGTAAAAATTGAAAAGGAAGTTGTAGATGGTAAAGTTTCTCCTGTGCTTGAAAAGTCAGTCAAAGAAGAAATATCACCACATTTAGAGAGCGAAAAGGCAATAAGTCCGACTGTAGTACAGGAACAGCCTACAGCCGTATCGGAAAAGATAACAGATAGCAAACAAGCAGACAGTGCGACTGCAGCTTCAATGGAACATAAAGCGGAAGATGATATTACGACTAAAAAGCAAGTATCTCCAACAATGGATGAAGACCTAATAAAATCTTCTTTAGAAAAAGAAAGCAAGCCTGAAGAAGGGTCGATATTCAAAAAAGAAGACAACTATATTATAGACCAGGCACCAATAACAGAATTACTAAAAGATGGTAAGCAAGTTGACGATCTTAATGTTCCTCCTGCCCTTAAAAAACCACTTAAAGGAGAATTATATCCACAAGTCGAGAAGACACAGGAAATAAGTTCGAGTGGAGAACATGAAAAGCCTGCAGCCGTATCGGAAAAGATAACGGAAAGCAAACAAGTCGGCAGTCCGACTGCCCCTTCTTTAGAACATAAAACAGTCGATAAAATCACTGCGAAGGAAATTTCTCCAACAGTGGATATAGATCTAATAAAATCTTCAGAAAAAGAAAGCAAACCTGAAAGTGAAAAGGTATTCGACAAAGAAGACAAACATACTATAGACGATGTACCTGTCACAGAATCACTTAAAGACGATAAAAAAGTTGATGATCATAAAGTTTCTCCTGTACTTAAAAAACCATTTGAAGAGGAATTATCACCAACAGTGGAGAGCAAACAGAAAATAAGTCCTGCTGCAGTACATAAACAGCCTACAGACATAGCGGAACAGAAAACAGATAACAAACAAAAAGACAGTCCAATTCCTCCTCTGGAACATAAAACAGTAGATTATATCACGACTAAAAAGGAAACATGTCTAAAAATGGACAAAGATCTAATAAAATCTTCTGAAGAAGAAATCAAGTCTGAAAGTCAAATGGTATCCGATAAAGAAGGCAAGCATACTATGGACTATACACCTGTCACAGAATTAGTAAAAGATGATAAGCAAGTTGTCGATCATGAAGTTTTTGCAGTGCTTGAAAAACCAGTTGAAGGAGAATTATCCCCACAAGTGGAAATGAAACGTGAAATAAGTCCGACTGCAGTACATGAACAGCCTTCAGCCGTAGCGGAAAAGATAACGGAAAGCAAACAAGTAGACAGCCCGACTGCACCTCTAGAACATAAAACAGTCGATACAATCACGGCTCCAAAGGATATTTCTCCAACAATGACGAAGGATCTTATAAGATCTCCAGAAAAAGAAAGCAAGCCTGAAAGTGTAGCGATATTCGGAAAAGATGGCAAGCATACTAAGGATGATGAACCTGTTACAGAATTAGTAGAAGATGAAAATCAAGTTGACGATCATAAAGTTTCTCGTGTGCTTGAAGAACCAGTTGCGGAAGATTTATCTGCAATTGTAGAGAGCAAGCAGCCAAAAGTGGACACATTGCCTGCTGTAGTACATGAACAGCCTTCAGCCGTGGCGGAAAAAATAAAGGATAGCAAACAAGTAGGCAGTCCGACTGCCCCTCTAGAAAATAAAATAGTCGACACAATCCCTACTACAAAAGAAATTTCTGCAACAATGGATCAAGATTTAATTAAATCTTCAGAAAAAGAAAGCAAGTCTGAAATTGAAACGATATTCGAAAAAGTAGGCAAACGTGCTAAAGACGATACACCTGTCACAGAATCACTTAAGGACGATAAACAAGTCGACGATCACAAAGTTTCTCCTGTGCTTGAAAAACCAGTTGAAAAGGAAGTATCCCCACAAGTGGAAAAGAAACTGGAAATAAGTCCGACTGCAGTACATGAACAGCCTTCAGCCGTAGCGGAAAAGATAACAGAAACCAAACAAATAGACAGCCCGACTGCACCTCTAGAACATAAAACAGTCGATACAATCACGGCTCCAAAGGATATTCCTCCAACAATGACGAAAGATCTTATAAGATCTCCAGAAAAAGAAAGCAAGCCTGAAAGTGTAGCGATATTCGGAAAAGACGACAAGCATACTAAGGATGATGAACCTGTTACAGAATTAGTAGAAGATGAAAATCACGTTGACGATCATAAAGTTTCTCGTGTGCTTGAAGAAACAGTTGCGGAAGATTTATCTCCAATTGTAGAGAGCAAGCAGCCAAAAGTGGACACATTGCCTGCTGTAGTACATGAACAGCCTTTAGCCGTGGCGGAAAAAATAAAGGATAGCAAACAAGTAGACAGTCCGACTGCCCCTCTAGAACATAAAATAGTCGACACAATCCCTACTACAAAAGAAACTTCTGCAACAATGGATCAAGAATTAATTAAATCTCCAGAAAAAGAAAGCAAGTCTGAAATTGAAACGATATTCGAGAAAGTAGGCAAACATGCTAAAGATGATACACCTGTAACAGAATCACTAAAGGACTATAAACAATTCGACGATCACAAAGTTCCTCCTGTGCTTGAAAAACCAGTTGAAAAGGAAGTATCCCCACAAGTGGAAAAGAAACTGGAAATAAGTCTGACTGCAGTACATGAACAGCCTGCAGCCGTAGCGGAAAAGATAACGGAAACCAAACAAGTAGACAGCCCGACTGCAACTCTAGAACATAAAACAGTCGATACAATCACGGCTCCAAAGGATATTTCTCCAACAATGACGAAAGATCTTACTCCAGAAAAAGAAAGCAAGCCTGAAAGTGTAGCGATATTCGGAAAAGACGACAAGCATACTAAGGATGATGAACCTGTTACAGAATTAGTAGAAGATGAAAATCACGTTGACGATCATAAAGTTTCTCGTATGCTTGAAGAAACAGTTGCGGAAGATTTATCTCCAATTGTAGAGAGCAAGCAGCCAAAAGTGGACACATTGCCTGCTGTAGTACATGAACAGCCTTCAGCCGTGGCGGAAAAAATAAAGGATAGCAAACAAGTAGGCAGTCCGACTGCCCCTCTAGAAAATAAAATAGTCGACACAATCCCTACTACAAAAGGAATTTCCGCAACAATGGATCAAGATTTAATTAAATCTTCAGAAAAAGAAAGCAAGTCTGAAATTGAAACAATATTCGAAAAAGTGGGCAAACATGCTATAGACGATACACCTGTCACAGAATCACTTAAGGACGATAAACAAGTCGACGATCACAAAGTTTCTCCTGTGCTTGAAAAATCAGTTGTAGAGGACGTATCCCCACAAATGGAAAAGAAACTGGAAATAAGTCCGACTGCAGTACATGAACAGTCTACAGACGTAGCGGTAAAGATAACGGAAAGCAAACAAGTAGACAGCCCGACTGCACCTCTAGAACATAAAACAGTCGATACAATCACGGCTCCAAAGGATATTTCTCCAACAATGACGAAGGATCTTATAAGATCTCCAGAAAAAGAAAGCAAGCCTGAAAGTGTAGCGATATTCGGAAAAGATGGCAAGCATACTAAGGATGATGAACCTGTTACAGAATTAGTAGAAGATGAAAATCAAGTTGACGATCATAAAGTTTCTCGTGTGCTTGAAGAACCAGTTGCGGAAGATTTATCTGCAATTGTAGAGAGCAAGCAGCCAAAAGTGGACACATTGCCTGCTGTAGTACATGAACAGCCTTCAGCCGTGGCGGAAAAAATAAAGGATAGGAAACAAGTAGGCAGTCCAACTGCCTCTCTAGAAAATAAAATAGTCGACACAATCCCTACTACAAAAGGAATTTCCGCAACAATGGATCAAGATTTAATTAAATCTTCAGAAAAAGAAAGCAAGTCTGAAATTGAAACAATATTCGAAAAAGTGGGCAAACATGCTATAGACGATACACCTGTCACAGAATCACTTAAGGACGATAAACAAGTCGACGATCACAAAGTTTCTCCTGTGCTTGAAAAATCAGTTGTAGAGGACGTATCCCCACAAGTGGAAAAGAAACTGGAAATAAGTCCGACTGCAGTACATGAACAGTCTACAGACGTAGCGGTAAAGATAACGGAAAGCAAACAAGTAGACAGCCCGACTGCACCTCTAGAACATAAAACAGTCGATACAATCACGGCTCCAAAGGAAATTTCTCCAACAATGACGAAAGATCTTATAAGATCTCCAGAAAAAGAAAGCAAGCCTGAAAGTGTAGCGATATTCGGAAAAGATGGCAAGCATACTAAGGATGATGAACCTGTTACAGAATTAGTAGAAGATGAAAATCAAGTTGACGATCATAAAGTTTCTCGTGTGCTTGAAGAACCAGTTGCGGAAGATTTATCTGCAATTGTAGAGAGCAAGCAGCCAAAAGTGGACACATTGCCTGCTGTAGTACATGAACAGCCTTCAGCCGTGGCGGAAAAAATAAAGGATAGGAAACAAGTAGGCAGTCCAACTGCCCCTTTAGAAAATAAAATAGTCGACACAATCCCTACTACAAAAGAAATTTCTGCAACAATGGATCAAGATTTAATTAAATCTTCAGAAAAAGAAAGCAAGTCTGAAATTGAAATGATATTCGAAAAAGTAGGCAAACGTGCTAAAGACGATACACCTGTCACAGAATCACTTAAATACGATAAACAAGTCGACGATCACAAAGTTTCTCCTGTGCTTGAAAAACCAGTTGAAAAGGAAGTATCCCCACAAGTGGAAAAGAAACTGGAAATAAGTCCGACTGCAGTACATGAACAGCCTTCAGCCGTAGCGGAAAATATAACAGAAACCAAACAAATAGACAGCCCGACTGCACCTCTAGAACATAAAACAGTCGATACAATCACGGCTCCAAAGGAAATTTCTCCAACAATGACGAAAGATCTTATAAGATCTCCAGAAAAAGAAAGCAAACCTGAAAGTGTAGCGATATTCGGAAAAGATGACAAGCATACTAAGGATGATGAACCTGTTACAGAATTAGTAGAAGATGAAAATCACGTTGACGATCATGAAGTTTCTCGTGTGCTTGAAGAAACAAATGCGGAAGATTTATCTCCAATTGTAGAGAGCAAGCAGCCAAAAGTGGACACATTGCCTGCTGCAGTAAATGAACAGCCTTTAGCCGTGGCGGAAAAACTAAAGGATAGCAAACAAGTAGGCAGTCCGACTGCCCCTCTAGTACATAAAATAGTCGACACAATCTCTACTACAAAAGAAATTTCCGCAACAATGGATCAAGATTTAATTAAATCTTCAGAAAAAGAAAGCAAGTCTGAAATTGAAACAACATTCGAAAAAGTGGGCATACATGCTATAGACGATACACCTGTCACAGAATCACTTAAGGACGATAAACAAGTCGACGATCACAAAGTTTCTCCTGTGCTTGAAAAATCAGTTGTAGAGGACGTATCCCCACAAGTGGAAAAGAAACTGGAAATAAGTCCGACTGCAGTACATGAACAGTCTACAGCCGTAGCGGTAAAGATAACGGAAAGCAAACAAGTAGACAGCTCGACCGCACCTCTAGAACATAAAACAGTCGATACAATCACGGCTCCAAAGGAAATTTCTCCAACAATGACGACAGATCTTATAAGATCTCCAGAAAAAGAAAGCAAGCCTGAAAGTGTAGCGATATTCGGAAAAGATGGCAAGCATACTAAGGATGATGAACCTGTTACAGAATTAGTAGAAGATGAAAATCAAGTTGACGATCATAAAGTTTCTCGTGTGCTTGAAGAACCAGTTGCGGAAGATTTATCTGCAATTGTAGAGAGCAAGCAGCCAAAAGTGGACACATTGCCTGCTGTAGTACATGAACAGCCTTCAGCCGTGGCGGAAAAAATAAAGGATAGCAAACAAGTAGGCAGTCCGACTGCCCCTCTAGAAAATAAAATAGTCGACACAATCCCTACTACAAAAGAAATTTCTGCAACAATGGATCAAGATTTAATTAAATCTTCAGAAAAAGAAAGCAAGTCTGAAATTGAAACGATATTCGAAAAAGTAGGCAAACGTGCTAAAGACGATACACCTGTCACAGAATCACTTAAGGACGATAAACAAGTCGACGATCACAAAGTTTCTCCTGTGCTTGAAAAACCAGTTGAAAAGGAAGTATCCCCACAAGTGGAAAAGAAACTGGAAATAAGTCCGACTGCAGTACATGAACAGCCTTCAGCCGTAGCGGAAAAGATAACAGAAACCAAACAAATAGACAGCCCGACTGCACCTCTAGAACATAAAACAGTCGATACAATCACGGCTCCAAAGGATATTCCTCCAACAATGACGAAAGATCTTATAAGATCTCCAGAAAAAGAAAGCAAGCCTGAAAGTGTAGCGATAATCGGAAAAGATGGCAAGCATACTAAGGATGATAAACCTGTTACAGAATTAGTAGAAGATGAAAATCAAGTTGACGATCATAAAGTTTCTCGTGTGCTTGAAGAACCAGTTGCGGAAGATTTATCTGCAATTGTAGAGAGCAAGCAGCCAAAAGTGGACACATTGCCTGCTGTAGTACATGAACAGCCTTCAGCCGTGGCGGAAAAAATAAAGGATAGCAAACAAGTAGACAGTCCGACTGCCCCTCTAGAAAATAAAATAGTCGACACAATCCCTACTACAAAAGAAATTTCTGCAACAATGGATCAAGATTTAATTAAATCTTCAGAAAAAGAAAGCAAGTCTGAAATTGAAACGATATTCGAAAAAGTAGGCAAACGTGCTAAAGACGATACACCTGTCACAGAATCACTTAAGGACGATAAACAAGTCGACGATCTCAAAGCTTCTCCTGTGCTTGAAAAACCAGTTGAAAAGGAAGTATCCCCACAAGTGGAAAAGAAACTGGAAATAAGTCCGAATGCAGTACATGAACAGCCTTCAGCCATAGCGGAAAAGATAACGGAAACCAAACAAATAGGCAGCCCGACTGCACCTCTAGAACATAAATCAGTCGATACAATCACGGCTCCAAAGGATATTTCTCCAACAATGACGAAAGATCTTATAAGATCTCCAGAAAAAGAAAGCAAGCCTGAAAATGTAGCGATATTCGGAAAAGACGACAAGCATACTAAGGATGATGAACCTGTTACAGAATTAGTAGAAGATGAAAATCACGTTGACGATCATAAAGTTTCTCGTGTGCTTGAAGAAACAGTTGCGGAAGATTTATCTCCAATTGTAGAGAGCAAGCAGCCAAAAGTGGACACATTGCCTGCTGTAGTACATGAACAGCCTTTAGCCGTGGCGGAAAAAATAAAGGATAGCAAACAAGTAGGCAGTCCGACTGCCCCTCTAGAACATAAAATAGTCGACACAATCCCTACTATAAAAGAATTTTCTGCAACAATGGATCAAGATTTAATTAAATCTTCAGAAAAAGAAAGCAAGTCTGAAATTGAAACGATATTCGAAAAAGTAGGCGAACATGCTAAAGATGATACACTTGTCACAGAATCACTTAAGGACGATAAACAAGTCGACGATCACAAAGTTTCTCCTGTGCTTGAAAAACCATTTGAAGAGGAAATAACCCCACAAATGGAAAAGAAACAGGAAATAACTCGGACTGCAGAACTTGAACAGCCTACAGCCGTAGCGGAAAAGATAACGGAAAGCAATCAAGTAGACAGTCCGACTGTCCCTCCTTTAGAACAAAAAATAGTCGAAACAATTCTTACAACACAGGAAATTTCTACAACAATGGATAAAGATTTAGTAAAATCTTCGGAAAAAGAAAGCAAGCCTCAAATTGAAACTATATTCGATAAAGAAGGCAAACATACTATAGACGATGCACCTGTCACAGAATCACTTAAAGACGATAAACAAGTTGACGAGCATAAAGTTTCTCCTGTGCTTGAAAAACCACTTGAAGAGGAATTATCACCTACAGTGGAGAGCAAACAGAAAATAAGTCCTACTGCAGTACATGAACAGCCTACAGCCGTAGCGGAAAACGGAAGCAAACAAGGAGGTAGTCCAACTGCACCTCTAGAACATAAAACAGTCGATACAATCACGGCTCCAAAAGCAATTTCTCCAACAATGTCGAAAGATCTTATAAGATCTCCAGAAAAAGAAAGCAAGCCTGAAAGTGAAGCGATATTCGAAAAAGACGGCAAGCATACTAAGGATGATGCACCTGTTACTCAATTAGTAACAGATGATAAGCAAGTTGTCGGTCATAAAGTTTCTCCTGTGCTTGAAAAACCAGTTGAAGGAGAAATATCCCCACAAGTGGAAAAGAAACAGGAAATAGCTCAAACTGCAGTAGTTGAACAGCCTACAGCCAAAGCGGACAAGATAGAGGAAAGCAAACAAGTAGGCAGTCCCACCGCACCTCTTCTAGAATATAAAACAGTAGATGATAACACTACAAAGGAAATTTCTCCGACAGGGGATATAGATCTAATAAAATCTTCAGAAAAAGAAAGCAAGCCTGAAAGTGAAATGGTGTTCGATAGAGAAGGCAAGCATACTATAGACGATGCACCTGTTACAGAATTAGTAAAAGATGATAAGCAAGTTTTCGATCATAATGTTTCTCCTGTGTTTGAAAAACCAGTTGAAGGCGAATTATCCCCACAAGTGGAAAAGAAACAGGAAAAAGCACGGTCTGCAGTACTGGAACAGCCTACAGCCGAAGCGGAAAAGATAGAGGAAAGCAAACAAGTAGGCAGTCCGACCGCACCTCTTCTGAAACATAAAACAGTAGCTGATATCACTACTACAAAGGAAATTTCACCGACAGGGGATATAGATCTATTAAAATCTTCAGAAAAAGAAAGCAAGCCTGAAAGTGAAATGGTGTTCGATAGAGAAGGCAAGCATACTATAGACGATGCACCTGTTACAGAATTAGTAAAAGATGATAAGCAAGTTGTTGATCATAAAGTTTCTCCTGTACTTGAAAAACCAGTTGAAGGAGAATTATCCCCACAAATGGAAAAGAAACAGGAAATAACTCGGCCTGCAGAACTTGAACAGCCTACAGCCGTAGCGGAAAAGATAACGGAAAGCAAACAAGTAGGCAGTCCAACTGCACCTCTAGAACATAAAACAGTCGATATAATCACGGCTCCAAAAGCAATTTCTCCAACAATGTCGAAAGATCTTATGAGATCTCCAGAAAAAGAAAGCAAGCCTGAAAGTAAAGCGATATTCGATAGAGGAGGCAAGAATACTATAGATGATGCATCTGTCACAGAATTAGTAAAAGATGATAAGCATGTTGTTGATCATAAAGTTTCTCCTGTGCTTGAAAAACCAATTGAAGGAGAATTATCCCCACAAAAAGAAGAAAGAAAACCAGAAATAACTCTGACTGCAGTACTTGAACAGCCTACAGCCGAAGCGGAAAAGATAAAAGAAAGCAAACAAGTAGGCAGCCCGACCTCACCTCCTCTGGAAGTAGATGATATCACAACTACAAGAGAATTTTCTCTAAAAATGGATAAAGATCTGATAAAGTCTTCGTTGGAAATGGAAAGCAAATCTATTGATGGAACGATATTCGGAAAGGTAGGGAAGGAAATCAAAGACACATCACCAGTCGCAGAAACAGTGGAGGTTGAAAAACGAGTACATGATCATAAAGATTCTTCTGTGCTAGAAAAACTTATTGAAAAAGAATCTCAGCAAAAAGAAAGCCAATTACAGATGAGTCCTACTACAGCACAAAAGAAAATGGATAGCAAACAAGTAGACAGTCTGACTGCATCTCCTATGGAGCGTGAAACACCCAATGAAATCATTACTACAAAGGAAATTTCTACAACAGAGGATAAAAATCAAACAAAATCTTCAGAAAAAGAAAGCAAACCTGAAACAGAAAAAATATTCGAAAAAGAAGGCAAGCATACTATAGACGATGCACTTGTAACAAAATCAGTAAAAGATGATAAAGAAGTCGATCGTAAAATCAGTGTGCTTTTATCTTTGGAAGAAGATATTAAGCCTGAATTAACCTTAATGAATTTATCTAAAGACAAAGATATTCCAGTATCAGCTAGTGTTGCCGAATTACAAGAACATGATAAGACATTCGAAGAATATAGAATTTCTCCTGAAAAACTTAGGGAAAGTAAGTTAATGATATCGGCACAAACTGAAAGCAAAGAAATAGTAAGTCCAACTGCACCTACACCAGAACAAAAAACAGACGACAAAATCATTACAAAAGAGGAAATTTCTTCATTAATAGATAAAGCTATTGTAACAATTTCAGGAAAAGAGAGAAAGCCTGAAGAGGGATTGACAACACATGAACATGAACCCACACCAATAGGCGCTAAAACAGTCAATGTTGAAAAACCAGTTGACGATCATAAAGTTTCTCCTGTGCTAGAAAAACCAGTTGAAAGAAAATTATCTCCACAAGTGGAGGGCAAAGAGGAAAGAAGTCCCACTGCAGTACATGAACTTTTGTTGGACAAAATGCCTTCAACCATAGCGGAACAGAAAACTGATATTAAACAAGAAGACAGTGCGACTCCACCTAAACTGGAACACGAAACGATTGATCAAATCACTGCTATAAAAGAAATTTCGCTACAAATGGATAAAGATCTAATTAAATCTTCTTTGGAAATAGAAAGCAAGCCTGAAGATAAAACGACATTCGGAAAAGAAGGTAAGCATACTATAGATACTGCACCAGTCACAAACTTAGGAAAAGATGAAAAACCATTTTATGCTGATAAAGTTTCTCCTATGCTAGTGGAGAGCAAACAGGAAATACTTTCGACTACAGTACATGAACTTTCTGTAGACAAAGAGCTTGCACCCGTAACGGAACAGAAGACAGTCGATAAAATTTCTGAAACGAGTGTTATTTCCGCTTCAGAAGAAGAAGATAAGCCTAAATTAAGCCTGAAAGACCAAAATATTCCAACAACAGCAACTGTTGTTGAATCGAAGGAAGTTGGTTTACCATCAGTAGAATATAACATTTCACCAGAAAAAAGTAGTAAGTGTGAATTGACTTCACAAGCTGTAAGCAAAGAATTAGCCAGTCCGACTTCAAGTACACCAGAACACAAAACGGACGACAAAATCACTTCAAAAGAGGAAATTTCTCCATTTATAGATGAAGTTCGTATAACGTCTTCAGAAAAAGAAAGTAAATCAAAAGAAAGATTGAAATTTGAAAAAGACGATAAGCATACTACAGACATAGTACCAGTTGCTGAATCAGTAAAAGTTGAAAAACTAGAACGAGATCATAAATTTTCTTCTGTGCTAGATAAACCAGATGTAAATGAACCACAGGGTTCTCCACAGAAGGCAATCCAACTAACAATACGACCAACTGCACAAGAAATCCCGATTGACAGTGTGCTTGCATCCATAGCCGAACAAAATACAGATGACAAAATAATCACTGAATTGAAATCACCACTTAAAGAAACAATTTCAAAAGAAGAAAGTAAGGCAGAATTAAGCCCAAAAGTCTTATCAGACATAACATTATCTGATGAAACTATGACTAACCAATCGAAAGAACCGTCGGTAAATATGTCTAAAATAACAGAAGATATGCTAAAATATGAAAGATTATACCAAGATAAAATACAGAAACAACACACAATTGTCAAACAACAAGGTTTGGATTCTTGTCAGGAAACACTTAACATTGATAAAGATTCCCTGATTTCAACAACTGATAGTGGCATAGACCGCGATAGTATAACTCAAGTGATGGCTTTTGGGAGTAGCTCTGAAGACATATCTAAAGAGGTCAGCCTTGAAGAAAAATATAGTCATGAGAGCAATGAAAAAAGTATCACTAAAATAAGTAATTTATTAAAAGATGACCTAATGTTTAAAGAAAAAGATGCACCCTCAGACAAACAAGTTGCTGAATTTGAACAGTCGCATAATATTTTAATGGAGACAATACATAAGGCTTTTAGTGATGAAAGCGTGCAACAAGGTATTAAAAGTGAAGGAATTGATTCATTAGCTATGCATTCCGAAACAGAAAGAGTATCAACACCTCCCACTGTGCCAGTCAGTCCCTTACCTAAAACACCCAGTAGTTTTCAAGATGTAAAAGTCAGTGAAGCAATACAGAGTGAAGTTTCATATGATAAGTCTGATGGCAGTGAAGAAACTATTACTAAAATTGTACATGTAGGAGAAGATATCCTTACCCAAAAAATTTCTACTTCTACAGAAAAAATACCGAAACCAGTTAAACCATCAATTTCAGACACTGACACTGAACCTGAGCTTTTAGCTTTAATGCAAAATGTTGGAAAAATAAGAACAGAAACCGATACCGTAACAAAAGTAATAAAAGAAGGGGAAAATGTTGTTACTCAAACAATAACAACAGTAACAACAAAGGAAGTAATATCAAGAGAAGATGGCACACCACAAAATATTAAAACGACAATAGAAACAACTACATTAAGTAAAGGCCAAGACGGCTCGACAACAACAACAAAAGATACTCAAACATTACTCTCAGAATGTTCTTCTAGTCTTAGGTCAACTTCACAGTTGGACACATACAATACGGATGTTTGTAGTCCAGAGAATAAGATTGTAACAAGCAGACGAATAGAGAATGAAAAACAAAAGATTGACAGCCAATATGACACTACTTTTATAAATCAAATGGATGAAAGTGATGAAAATATAGAAGATACCACAATTGACGCAGATGTAACAAAAAAAATTATAAGTGAAGATGGTATTGACATAATGGTGACTATAGTGACGACTACTAAAAAAGAAATAATAAAACTAAGTGAGAATAAAAAAGTTGTAAAAACTACCATTGAACGACTTACCACTAAAGATTATCCAGATGGTAATCAAATAGTTGACACAACTGTTGAAGTACGAAAAAAAGACTTGGATATTGATGTTTTTAGTAACTTAGATATAGTTTTAAGTAACTACAAAATATTTGGTGAAACAGAAGAGCATGTTAGCACTCAAACAGAAGATGTAAAGCAAGAAAATATTACAATCAAACGAACCATCATAACAAAAACATTAAAAACTAAGTACGCTGATGATGAAGGAGTTCCTGAAAAAATAAAAACTATTACTACAATAACGACAAAAGATGATTATCCGGACGGCTCGTCATGTTCCAAAGTTGAGACCATTATTTCTCTGGCAGATATAGAAATCAAAGAAAACAAAGGATCTCTAGCGTACAAAGGCTTCGAAGAATACAATATCCTATTAAACCAAAAAGAAAATGTTCAGACAAAGGAAAAAAGTATCGTTATTGACGGTAAAACAGTATTGCAAATTATAACAGAATATATAACTGAACAAGTTGTGGCTAATAAAGATAATAAGAAAAAAATTAAAACCATCGTGGAGACTGTGACAGAAACCAAGAGACCAGATAATATTACGGAAATCTTAAAAGATGTCAAATTTTTCATAGCAGAGTATGGACCAGATTTATTTAAAAACAATGCAGAAGAAGTAGGAGAAGATAATAAACAAGACTTTGTAGAAAAATATAGTGATGATGCTACAGGCGAAATGGAATTAAACCCTATGGGCCCACAAGAAGAAACGGAAACTATAAAAACTGAGGATATAGAAGAAAAGGACTGTCTTATCAAAAGAACTGTGGTCACAAAAATTATAAAGAATAGATTTTGTGATACTAAAGGAAAATTGAGAAAAATTGAGACAACCACTATTATAACTACTACTGACAAATATCCAGATGGATCCACAAAAACAGTTGTAAAAACAAGTACTGCAATAGATAATCTTACCGATAGTGAGATTTCTGATATGGAAACAGGTAAACCTAAATCAAAAGAAACCTTGTCTGAAAGCAAAACAATAAGCGCACATGATCAAATGCAGTCTAATGTTATGCTACCACGTGAAATTGATTTCGAAACTAAAAATATAGATACAGATAATATTTTGAGAGAATTGAAACCAAGTGGAGAACCAGAAGAAATCGAAATGACACAGTCAGAAAATATTATTGAACATGGAGTTAATATAAATAGGACAATTATAACAAAGACGATAAAGACGAGGTATTTAAATTCAGAAGGTAAGGAATCCAAATTAAAAACGGTTACAATTGTGACAACCTTAGATAATTATCCTGACGGTTCTATAAAAAAATCAATAGAAACAAGTACTAGAGTAAATGATATTGAAATAGATATACCAAATAAAACACTAGGTCTTGATGAATATTCAACATTGGAGGATAAATCTATAGTTGTAAATGATGAACAAAAAATGATAATAAGAGATGGTCAAACTGTAGAACAATTGATTACAACAACAACAACCAAGGAAATTTTATCTTCACCAATCTCTTTGAAAAAGAAATTAAGAACTACTATTGAAACTATTTATAAAACATTTTTACCTAATGGTTCCACAGAAATCACTAAGGATTTAAACGTTTCGGTTATGGATTATGCCCTAGAAGAAATTACTAATGAATTTGAAGGTTATGTTTTAATGGATAAACCTTCTGTAGAAACAACTACTGAAAAGCAAAATGTTACTGAAAATGGTATAAAGATCAAAAGGAAAATCACTATCACAACTACCAAAGAAGAATTTTCCCACGTCACTAACAATGCAAAGAAAATCAAAACCACTGTGAAAACTATCACTGAAGATGAATATCCAGAGGGCACAGTTCTAACAAAAACTAGTGAACAAGTATCAGTCGCAGATGTATTTTCGAAAACGCCACAAATGGATGATATAAATGATATAACCGAGCCTTCAGCAAACTATATGGAAGACAGTGAAACTATCGAGGATACATCTGAGGAATCTGATATTAAAAATGAAATAGTTCAGCAAGGAAATGTAACAATAAAGCGAACTATTACAACAAAAACTAAGAAAGATACTTTAGCAAGTACGGATAAAAACATTAAGAGAATAAGAACCACAATTGAAACGATTACTGTAGATGAATATCCAGATGGATCTACCGAAACCACAAAAGACGTCAAGATAACAATATCAGAGTTTCAAAGAACATCTGATAGTAATTTACAAGCAGCTCTTCAAGGGCTGTCTTCAACAGGAAAAATAAAAAATTCAGTAGATAAAAAAACTAATGTTGTATACGTAAACGATGAAAAAATTGTTCAAACAATTACGACCAATATAACAAAAGAAGAGCTAAAAAATACTAATACAAACGAAATAGCTGTTAAAACGGTAACTGAAACTATCACTGAAAATGCAAAGGATGATGGTTCATTGGAGTTAACAAAAGATTTACGAACACAAATTACGTACTTACCTATTGGAACTGGTCTAGACGATTGGTCACCTGAAGAGTTGGAAGAAATTGAAAAACAACTTATTAAAGATGACAAACCTAAGCTGGATGAACTACCTCTAGACTATCAAGGAGAAGAAAGAGTTGCAAAACCTTCGACAAAAACTAAGAAACAACGTTCACCGGTTGGAGAAATAACAACAGATACTGAAACTTTTACTAAAATACTTAAAGAAGGTGACAATGAAATCACGCAAACAGTAACCGTAGTGACTACTAAGGAAGTAATAAGTCCTGAAAAGATTAAAATTACTGTAGAAACAACAACAGTAAGCAGAGGAAATGATGGAATTACTAAAACTACAAAATCGACAAAAACAACTATTTCTGAATTCAAAGAAGAATATGAAGAAACAATAGACACTGGCGAAAGTGAAAAGTCATTTTCAAAGTATTCTTCTAAAACCGGAGACATGCATAGTTCATCTGCTGCTAGTGATGACCTAGACCACCCTGGAATCTCTACACCCCCATCTGATATAAGTTCAAGGGGCTCACGAGCAGCTACGCACCTTTGGGGTACGGAAAGTAGTGGTATGTACTATAGCGATGATGATGGCCAAGGCAGTCCAAGCAGCACAAAATCTCAGATTGCACACTCTCCTAGATCTAACTTAAGCTTTGAATTAGACTCCTCAAAAATCCCACAATACCGGGATCCCAGCCAGGAGATATCATTTGATAAAAGTGTCGAAACAATTATTCACAAAGATCCCATGACAACTTCTGTTTATGGACAATTGTCAGAAGATGATACGGGTACATCATCTACTCATTCTGTAATTAAAACTGAAACTCGTATTCTAGATATTCCATTATCTGAATTGAATGAGGCCTTTTTAAATCAAGAAAAGTTGATTTCCAGCCACGATAGTAAAGTTTCAGATGCTACCTTTTTAAAAGAAGCTGATGAACAGTTTGACAAGGCAATTGAAGAACATAAAAAAGTCAGTGGGTCTCAAGTGATATCCAACATCACAGCAAAGTACGAATTGGATGAGAAGAGTCATTCAAGTCACCAAAAGTCTAGTAAAGAAGAAACCATAATCACCTTAAAAGATTTGAAATCAGAGTCGAAAAAATTGAATGAATCAAGCGTGTCATCTTCAAGTAATTTAAAACCAACGGTGTTGGAAGAAACCGCTCGGAAAAGTGAATCACATGCAAGTCAAGAAAATGACCCCATTGAATCGTGGGGAAAACCCTTAGGTTTACCTAGTCCTATTGTACCACCTGCACAATCAGACGGTAAAAGTACGCCCAAAAAACAAACACCCAGTTCCAATGTGCTAAATAAAAATAAAATCAATCAGGAAAAGAGCAAGGAAACTAAAAGTCGAGCTTCTGAATCTCCAAGCAAAAAGAAAACTCCAGCACCTGTATATATGGAGCTAACATACGTCCCACACCATGGAAACTCATACTATTCTGCCGTAGAATTTTTCAAAAGAGTCCGAGCAAGATACTATGTATTTTCAGGCACGGAACCTTCGAAAGAAATATATAATGCTCTACTTGATGCCAAGAAGACTTGGGAAGATAAAAGTTTGGGTGAGTTTTCTTTACTTAAATTTATTTTAAAGTGTGTAAATGCAAATAATTACGCCGTCTATAAACATTACTGTCATAGCCATATCTGAAGCTATCACTTCACATGGTATTTGTTCATTGTATGGTCTACTTCGAATTTGCTATTTGTACATATTTTGACTACAGTATACCCTTATCATGTTCTACAGGAAAAGAAAAGGAGAGACTGTTGTTAAATTTACAAATAGCGATTAGTCATTTGAATATTCGTCATTAACGAGATCACATTTATGACTTGTATATTTCCTCCAGAAACGGTAGGAAGGTTACTTAAAAACCTGAAATTGGAAAATATGGAAAATTACAACAATCATTTCAATTTTTTTTCACTCTTATTTACTCGTCACAATTACAAATATCGAGCTCTGAAAGCTTTATTAAAATTATGTCATGCCACGGTCTTCCAATCATTTATCTAAGCATATCATATTGACATTTGCTTTGACTTTGATAGAAATAGCGTAAAGAGTTAAATTTAGACTATTGGCTCCCAGTTGAACACTAAAACAGATTTCTTGATTCCTTTCATAGTGTTGTTTAAAATTGGATTTATTTAAAGTTTTTCTTGCATACTTTCAATTAATACTTTTTTTCATTTTCATTTACAAAAATTACTAATAACGGCGAACAAAAACCATGCAAGGTTTGTTCATCGCCGTGTTCACCACTTGAACAGGAAGTAGGTACCAATTAATAATGAGGTAGAATTACTGTTGTCCGTCTCAGAGGATCGCGCACCTGGTCATTTCGCCATTGTATTGATGACGATGACAGAGTCTTTGATTTGTCACTCAAAATTTCGTTATATTATTTCAATTTTCTTTGTAATTCAAATAAATCCCAATGGAACCTTTAATATCCGTTTTACGCTATCTATTACTAAGGATACGTACGGTAGTTTGAGTTTTGATAATCTTACAAGAACAAGGTTAAACATTATAAGAGTGTCAAATCCCATTAAAGTCCGCTAAGCCGTTTGAATGTTTGCAGGCGCACTCAGAAGTGTCAATTATGTACTTGTTTTATTGCTAACACATTATAAAGAGCATCAAGCATTATCATAAAGAAAGAATCATTCACCTCTAACTATCATCGAAACATAATATAAAGAATTAAGTTTTCACCAGCCCTTATGCAATTAAAAATTTTAATATAGCTTTTTCTTGGATATGGCTGGAGAACGAGATATTTTACATCATCATATTCTATTTTCTATCTTTCCAGAAGTGACTATCATCCCTACATATGATACCGATGTCCTTGGTTATTGGGTGGCCGAAAACGAAGAAGCCTTGGAGAAATATAAGATAGATTTATCACCATCAGCTTCCCGCTGTACCATTAATCTACAAGATCATGAGACTTCGTGCGCGGCCTACAGACTTGAGTTCTAGGTGTCGGGTCTATTTGTAGCTTTCTCATCGAAGAAGTAAGCCTCTTATGTGCATATCGATGCTTTTGGACGGGGGACACAGAGTGTTAAATTGTTTTAGGAAAAAAATAGGCTGTGATAAAGATGGAAGCGTTCAGAAGCATCTATGTTACGAGAAGAGCAGAACACTACTTCGTATGAGATTGTTTACAAATAGAAACACATTAAAGACTTTGTGATATTTGAATGCAATTAACAGACTGTTAATGAGTTTGATAAAACGTAGTTAATTATGAGGTATTGAAATTAAAAAAGGGAACTTTATTGAAAATCAATCGCAGTGCTGGTGGGAAATGTGTGATGCGTATTATCCCCGGGTCACGGCAACGTCTCATGTGAATCGTTGATCTTTAATTGAGAAAGTCCTTTACCGCATCCATCAAAAGTCAATGTAACCATATTCTCGACCTAATAACAGAAACGTCCATTTTTTTCTAAAACAGTTTTGTAGTAGCTTTCATTATTAAAATAGAACATGCCATTTGAAATATATTTCTGATAATGTTTTGAGATTTGGTCTTATACAATCTGTAGTGCTTTTATACAAGATTTTTAGCATAACCAGTCAGTCCATTTTATTTAGCCAAAACACCGCTTGTGGAAATATCAAAATTTTCTAAAAATTATTTTGCTATCGCATTGAGAATTTTTGGATAGTAAATAAAATGTACAAACAAATTTTCTGAGCACGGCCATAATTATTTAGCGAAACGCTTTGTATACAAGGACGTGATAGTTTCGGTCCCATAGACGTGTTGTCGACGAAATAATATGACAAGTGTTAATATAAAATACTTACCTGATGTACTTTTTTATGAACAAAGTTTAAATATTGAATGAAATTATTAAGTAACTAATTGTCTTAAAAAGACGCCACTTATAAAATATGAAGTCGCTCGGCAGGCTAGTGCTGCTTGCGCTAGTTGTATACTTGTTAGAAGTGACATTAATACTATATTGTTGTGTTCTAAAAAGACAAAGATCACTCCACGTGGGATTAATTTAATTTTAGATTCAAGTAACTATTACGACTTCTTAAGGCCTTGCTTTTTGCTGTTTATACTGATCGATGAAACTTTACGTGAATGCACAAATTATGCCTTTGAAAACTGCATGATTTTTATATCATGCGCTTGGTAAACTAAAACCGAAGTATTCCGAAAAACCTGCATTTCGAAATACTTTGGATTTTATGTAATGGTATCGAATCGTTCCTCCTGCTTTAGTGATCTTTGTCTTTCTGGATTTATCTATGAGCCTAAAACGATAGAGAGCTTAAATTCATTGAATAATTGTTTTAGTAGAACTATTATTACAGAAACTCTCTATTTACCTTTGTTTGAGTTACATAATGCTTGTTGCGTCAGAATTTACTGAAACATAGCTATAAAACATGTTATAAATTCTATTGATTTGTAAAATGTAAAATTCATGTGATTCTTTGAATCTCTGTGTTTTTATCAATATTTTTGGCAAAAGCGTTTTCGATGTTTTGTTATTTTTTAAATTTCTAGTCGTTATGACCCAAATACTTATGAAGACGTTAATATTGTAGTCGTAATTATTCGTTCCTATATGAATTGAGTTCTAGCATTTCTAATAGTTTTCTATTGAATAAATAAAAAAATCTTCTTGTAAAAATAAATTAACAAGAACTCCATTAGATAACTATTATTTTACTAATTAACTCTTTACGTTCGAATGGTGTGAGCGAATGTGATAATGGTACTCATCGTAATAACAATTTACCATCTAGTGAGTAAGTTGTCTGATCAAAGCTTTTACTTGTTAATTTCTATATTTAGTTATTTGCCAAAATGTGAAATATGAAGGTTTTGAGTCAATTAATTTTAAGTCATCCATAGTCGTAAGCCGATGATTATCTCTTGTCAAACAACTGCGCTTACTTTGCCAACATCCTTCTAATAACTATAGATAAATAATAAAATAGATAAAATGAGCTCCTGATATCTGATCGCACCAGCACAATATATTAAATAATAAATAAAACAATGTTAACAAATACATTAAAATATGATGTTCTATATATTTATTTTTATGAACTAATTTGAAAAGTACGAATGAGAATTTATTTTATAGTTAATATGATATAGTATGGTGTTTTAACTGTGTGTTGTTTGATGTGAGCACAATATTTATAATTATGTTTCAATTACGTGAATTATGCTTTAGGTAATATTGTGGATGGGAAGGACTAAACAGGGAGATGAATCTTGAATCAAATGTAAGATCTAATGTAACTCACACGCCACAATATGAGTTTTTATTTTGTATCGTTGTCGAAACGAATATATAAATATTATATTTGAAATAAATTATAATTATGATTTTCTAAAGATGATCTCTATATGTTCTTGGTACATGATTTCAGTGTAAGATACATTAGATTCTACAGCAAAGGCTTTGAAAATATTTTGAATAATTTTAACATAGGCTTTCTATTTATTTCTAGCCAGCATCCACGACTTAGCTGGCTCCGAAGCCTGACCCAAAAAAATAATATTGTATTTTATAGCTAGAACTCTAATTAATGCATATTATTAGGAATATTAAAATGTTATTAAATTAAGAATTGTATCAGCTTAGTGAACATCAATAGCTCTGAGAAATAAATCATTATTAAAATTATTAAAATGTTGTATTTTTCCAACTGTGGAGATGAATGTATATAAGTTACGATTATTTCTATTCACTTACTTTATAAGTAACGAAATAACTGAACGATGCAATAATTTTTCTGATTTCTATTATAAGTTTAATAGTTACATATACTAATTTAAAGGCTTAATCGAAAAGATTGGAACCCTATCCTTATCCTTATGACTCGTATCCTTTCGGTTCGTATAGTATCGTATGTATTTTTAATATCTTAAGAAGATTGTTATCAAATGTCAGTGACCAAAATTACTGTAGTATTGTGAAATCTAAACAAAGTGCGGATAATATACTATCGTAATTATAACCTAATTGGAAATAGAATTAACATTTATTTTTAAATTCGCTTCAAATAGTGATATAATTCAAGAAGCGAAACTTTATGTTAAACTTTGTTTACCTAGATGATTTCTTTCTTGCGAGATACGAATGGGTTGGATATTAAGTGTCGGTAGATAGGTATTGGAGTGTTTAAGCTTATGTGGTGCTAACGGCCGATGTGCGAGGCGAGTACAATTATATAGAATCTGTTTTCTTAAGTAAGTGGTGATGGTTCAACTTTAAAACTAAATTCCTAGGATGTGAATAATACTAAATTTGATATTGTTAGGATAACAATTTCCTAAACGAAGTCATCACGACTTACTAGGAGAAGTAAACGACACGCTTAATGGTTTGGAAGACTGATCGATGGTATATTTATTTTATTTCGCTGTTGCCTCAGAATATTTAAATTGATTTTTTGATAACCAATTTAACTCTACCTTCCCGTTACTCTGTCATAGCTGTATATGCTTAACAAAATATTTAATAATTTGAATAATGATAAAACTCTTTGAAAGGACTTAGGTACTTGTAATGATTATTGTATTATGTAAATTAAAAAGTAAAAACATTCATTGTATCAGTCATGTTGCTAATCTCCATTCAGCGTGTTTGGTGAAATTGTATGAATCATTAAAAGTAATAAAAAAATATTGAAAATGTTATCGCTTTATTATTTTAGTTATTTGAACAGGCCCGTATCCCGTTTCTTAGTTCCACTGATATAAAATGGGGTTAATAAATTTTAAATTAAAAATATTTGCGACTTAATCTGAAAATATTAAATGTGATCATTATCATCATTATTGATGATTAAAATAATACCTCATAAAAATTACTAGAATTTCTAAAATTAAGGTAAGGGATGTATACAGAAATACCATGAATATTGGATTATGTATATAAGTTATTGTAATATTTTAAATATTAGTAGTTTTAAGGTATCAGAAATTTCTTAAGGATTTTCATAAATGCAATTGTTTGCGCGTTTGATTTGCAATAGTGAAAGTTAAGCAACTTTTGTAATTACTAGTCATAGGATGGCTAACCAAACAAGAATTATCTAGAGCTCCGCCGCGATTTCTCGAAAGTATATTAAGCTGTTGGTCCTAAATGTATCTGCTATCGTTAGCATTAGGTCACTAATCGACATCCAGTTTTTTTTAATGGGGCTTTTACTCTAAGTGAAGAGACATAAATATTTAGTAAACTAATTACTTAGATTAAAACAAAAAGGGAAGATACGGTAGAGTCTGTGCGGAAAGAGATAAGATTTTTATTTGGCAATCAAACCCAGCAATTTGTAAAACGTCAAAGTTTTATATTGATACGGATTTGTTTGTTGTTGTGATTTCTTGCGGTTTTTTGTATTTAATCATGTCTAAAAGGGGTAAAACCTTATAAATACGGTAGAAAAGCACTACAGCGCCCTCCAATCTAAATCCCATTCTCTTTCCGCACAGACTCTATGCTCATATTAGCGTCAAATAAAATATGATCCAACTCAACTACATAAGCAACTCTCACACACGTACACACTTCTGTAAATAAACATTCAATCAGGCGAGCGAGATAGAATTGTACGCTTCAACGCAGCTCGAGCGAAACGGCGCGAGTCGGCGTCGCTCTGCAGCCGACTGCATTTTCTTTTCTCTCTTTACAGCGGGCTGAGTTGTATTGTTGTCCTTTTCTAGATAAAAAAATGGCAAATCGGTAATTTACATTCATGGCAAATCGTAATTTTTGAGAAAAATATGTTTTTATAGTTTTACGAGTGAAAAGTGTTGCCGTGGCATTTATTATTTGATCTTAAACTATTTGTATTTTTTATAAAAGCATCTAAGGCTTTGTTTTATCTCTATGACACAGAATATACTCAATATTGTTATATTGAGTGCACATGCATCGTGTTTGGATGTCCAATTGTCACTAAAGCTAATTGTGGTCATGCACCACAATTTAAGCGGATCATTTTTGAGCCGCGGGTGTCGTATCTTCCTTTTTTGATTTTATCTAAGACTGATGATGATAAAAAAATAGTTAAAGGATTTAATTTTGTAGATACTAACACTAAAGTATTGATATTTTTTTAAAAAATACAAAACTGGACAATTGTCTAAAGCCCAGAGCTTTATTAACAGTTTTACAAAAAGAAAACAACGATAAAAGGAGAAAAAAATCATTTAATGACACTCTTTTAAATCAAAACATGATTTGCTTATTAAAAGAATAGACAGATACACATGACGTATTAATAAATACTTATAGGTAGATAATTTTATCACCACACTTATAACATAATAAATAATAACTATTTATTATAAAAGCTAACATATTTACACAAAGACAAGACGTATTTTTTAATACAAACATTGATCATACATAGACAAAACACGAATTTCTCCTTTTCTTTCTATTAAACTTATAAACACGGCACAGTATTTAATCATTTTGCTTATAATCAATGTTTAACCTTAGTAAATAATAATAAAATACTAATATTTCAGACTAGCGTACAATCATCCAGTTACTGTATCGAATTCACTTTTAAAATAATCAAATATAAATAGAAAAACACTTGTTCTTTATTAAATGAGTGTTATCATTTGTTAATTGCTTGAATTTCACTTTATTATGTATGTATTGTCAGAAAAGAACCTATACCTAATACAAAATGGCACTGTATACAAACAAATCTTCACAAGAATATACAACAATAGATTTATTACTAAAGCCGCGATGTCACGGGGCGAGTAGCAGATGGTAAAAAAGCCGATGACACGGGTTTACAAGCGAGTTTACAAGCTGTTAGCAAACTCGCTGACTTGTAGCTTGTAAAGTCGCCCCGTATCATGGAGCAGATAGTAAAAAAGCCGATGACACGGGTTTACAAGCTGTTAGCAAACTCGCTGGCTTGTAGCTTGTAAAGTCGCCCCGTATCATGGAGCAGATAGTAAAAAAGCCGATGACACGGGTTTACAAGCTGTTAGCAAACTCGCTGGCTTGTAGCTTGTAAAGTCGCCCCGTATCATGGAGCAGATAGTAAAAAAGCCGATGACACGGGTTTACAAGCTGTTAGCAAACTCGCTGGCTTGTAGCTTGTAAAGTCGCCCCGTATCATGGAGCAGATAGTAAAAAAGCCGATGCCGCGGGTTTACAAGCTGTTAGCAAACTCGCTGGCTTGTAGCTTGTAAAGTCGCCCCGTATCATGGAGCAGATAGTAAAAAAGCCGATGCCACGGGTTTACAAGCTGTTAGCAAACTCGCTGGCTTGTAGCTTGTAAAGTCGCCCCGTATCATGGAGCAGATAGTAAAAAAGCCGATGCCACGGGTTTACAAGCTGTTAGCAAACTCGCTGGCTTGTAGCTTGTAAAGTCGCCCCGTATCATGGAGCAGATAGTAAAAAAGCCGATGCCACGGGTTTACAAGCTGTTAGCAAACTCGCTGGCTTGTAGCTTGTAAGCTCGCCCCGTGTCATTGAGGCTTTAGGACGCCAATAAATTACGTGAGGTGTTTTTTTGGATTTTCTGTCCCTCCCTCCCCCCCTGGTGAGATGTCGTGAGATTTTATTCAACCCCCTCCCCCATCCCCCAATCTCACGTGAGATTTTTCAAAATGTGGGTTTCTTTAGTAAACGCGTTGGATTGTTATTGTAAAAAGAAAAAAAATGCTTCGTGCTTTCATTTACGACTAGTTAAGACTAGTAATCAATATTGCTGAGAGTTATAAGTGTAATAAAAATTGAACAATAGAATATTTAATAGATACTACTGTGAAAAAAATTTGCGTGATATTTGCCGAGACCCCCCCTCTCTCCAACGTAAGATTAGATGAGATTTGACTCGACCCCCTCCTCCCCTTAAACATCTCACGTAAGTTATGGACGCCCCCTTAGCAATAATGACTCCGATAAATCATAAAACGATCGAAATAAAATACAGAAAGGTAGAAACTGGTAGAAAAAAAATCGTCTAGGTATTGCTATTCTACTAATATTGGAATGATGACAGTAATCATAATAAATTATAGCAATACGAATTTTATATTAGGTACATAAAAACTAACATAAATAAAACTATCACAACTATGAAGCAATAACAGACATGAAATTTTAGTTTAATACACAAAAAACTTGTTACACCTTCTTGTTACAGACTAGAGTCGACACTTTTCATGACATCTCATAAATTACTCGGAAGTAAAAGAAAAACAACAAATCAAATCAATTAAGTGATATCATATCTACATTATTATATATTTATTTATTTATACTTTATTGCAAAAAAAACAGCAAATGGCGGACATAATGCCATAAGGCATTCTCTACTAGTCGACCAGTAAAAGCGTGAGAAATAAAAATACGGGGGTGCAATAAGGACATATGCTAAATAAACCAGGTAGGTAATACATATATCAATAGAATACACAAAAATTAAAATATATATACAATACATACATCTAAATATATATGCTATATCTACAATACTTACATAAACATACACATAATTAATTAATCTATCAACTTATGTCTTTTTTGTTTTTTTATTAGAAAAAATATTGACACAATATTGTAAAAAGTACGAAAACTTTCAATCTTGTGGTACTCTTTTTAACTAGAGCATCTTATCTGTTTCTTTGGTTTGTCACGTTAGTTTTAAGTGGCACTTATTTCAGCTTTGTTTTAAAAACTAACAGAGAAGAAATATTCACTATCAAGAGTTAGCAGGTTGCCAAATTTTAATTAATCTGATTAATGAACCTGATTGGACGGGCACTTTAGGTTCAAAAAACAACTTTACTAGTAAAACTTGAGTGCCCATTGCCAAGTTGAGACTTAAGACATACTCGTATTATAGTACACAAAAATGTTCACATGTTCTTGAATAAAGCATACATACTTGGAATTATTATGTTCACGATCCTAAACTATATTATCATTGGTTGATATATTTTATTTTCCTGTATTACAAGAACTTCTTATTTTTGTACGATGTCTTATACTGAAAGCAACGTTTCCATTTTGTTTGTGATTTGTTAAATTCCCCACTGTACGCAATGAGCTGAAATTGAACATGTGGATATTATTTTATTTATTGAATTTCACACTACAGTAGTTGCAACCGACTTTTCTTGCACCGTCTTCACATTTGATCTCCACTCACACTTGGTCTCATGCGTGGTGGAATCGTTAAGCAGATCTTCTATGTTAAACAGAATAACAACTTTACACTCATTTTCTTCTTCGTCAGTGGAAACACCACCACCATTATTGACTGTTTAAAATCGTAAATCGTCCGGTTTTCTGATGAAGTAAGCGACTCGGTCTACAGGCACTTTGTACTCGTGCATCCAGCGGTTGCCTTTACGCAGGGACCCGTCGATTCCGTCCTGCCATAGTCCCGCCGGGAGATATACTGCAAAACACATAGTTAATCAATATTAATTTAGTATCTTCACTAAATATATATATATAGCTGTTCGACTTTGGAATTCACTTCCTGAGGGTATCAGAAAGGCTCGTTCGCTTATTTCCTTTAGCGATCAAGTTAAACGCTATTTCCTTTCTTTATCTTAAATTCGTTTAACATCCTATTTCTTTGCTTCTCTTATATATATAACTAGCTGACCCAGCGAACTTCGTACCGCCCTAAAAAAATAGGGGTTGTCCAGCGGACAAAATTGTGAATCTAAACCATTCTCAGATCCCCTTGAACACACACAAAAAATTTCATCAAAATCGATCCAGTCGTTTAAGAGAAGTTCAGTGACATACACACTCACAGAAGAATTATATATATAAAGATATATATAGCTCCTGTATCTACTTTTGCACCCTTCTATATTTCTCTAATATTATTCCTTTTCTACCATAGGTTGCCTGGAAGAGATTGCTGTTTAGCAAATAAGGCCGCCTATTGTACTCTTTCTTCTGTTTTATTTGTTTTTGTCTTGTTTCCTTTGTTGTGTGCAATAAAGAATATTTATTTTTATTATTATTTAATATATTAGGAGATATTTTATCGATGTCCAGTATTAAAGACAGAAACAAGTGACAGGTTAAGAAAATCATCTAAAATGGTTGAAGAGCTTCGACGACATCCGTGGCCGAGTGGTTTGTACGCCAGGTTTCATGGCGTCGCCCACTCGAGAGGTCCCGGGTTCGAATCCCAGTGGGGGCAGATGTTTGTGTGATGAACACGAGCATTTGTACTCCAGTCATGTATAAATCTAAAGAAAATATAACTAGAAAAAATTTCACGCGGACCAGGCAGCAGACGGGACTCGAACCCGCACCCTTCGCAATCCGGGCGATTGCACTGACCAATTATGCTACCGCGGCCCTCACGGACCGCGTCGAAATTCTTTCTAGCTATTCTTAAGCTGCAAGGCAGCGCCATCTCTTCGCATTATAGGTAAACCCACAATGTCAAATGAATACTTTTACAAGTATTAAACATTTGAAAGAAGAAATAGCAATTATAGTTATAATTTTTATTATTTTTAAAGCATGTAACTGCTTGATGTTTAAATCTAAAGAAAATATAACTAGAAAAAATTTCACGCGGACCAGGCAGCAGACGGGACTCGAACCCGCACCCTTCGCAATCCGGGCGAATGCACTGACCAATTATGCTACCGCGGCCCTCACGGACCGCGTCGAAATTCTTTCTAGCTATTCTTAAGCTGCAAGGCAGCGCCATCTCTTCGCATTATAGGTAAACCCACAATGTCAAATGAATACTTTTACAAGTATTAAACATTTGAAAGAAGAAATAGCAATTATAGTTATAATTTTTATTATTTTTAAAGCATGTAACTGCTTGATGTTTAAATCTAAAGAAAATATATATATAATTGGTCAGTGCATTCGCCCGGATTGCGAAGGGTGCGGGTTCGAGTCCCGTCTGCTGCCTGGTCCGCGTGAAATTTTTTCTAGTTATATTTTCTTTAGATTTAAACATCAAGCAGTTACATGCTTTAAAAATAATAAAAATTATATCCAGTCATGTATGTTTAATATGTATTTCTATATAAATATACTTATATAAGTACAGTATATGTATTCTATCCGTTACCCTAGTATCCCATAACACAAGCTTTACAGTGCTTACTTTGGGGCTAGGCTAATTGGTGTGAGTGTTGGAAATATTTATTTATTTATTATTCCTTTGATACACTTTTATTAACCACCATGCTTGGTTTCATCCATGGGACATTTAACAATACCGACAAGTCAACAAAATAAATAAGTTTTTTGGATGTATCAATACAAAAGTGAACCTTATATATTAATTTATTTAATTTGTATGAGTCAGTAATCATGATACTCGTTCGAATGGAAGGAAGTATCGTCTCGTGTCTGATCTGTACCCCTAGCACGAACCATTATCGAATTCGTATCGTTTGCGAGTGCTAGGGGTACTGATTTTTAGTTCTCGTTGCGTACGTTGTGCCGCTGCTGTTCAAGTTTCCATACAAAATTTGACATTGACATTTCGGTTTGCAAACTATTCGAATTCGATAATGGTTCGTGCTAGGGGTACTGTAACAATACACCAGTCCCGTGCGAGCACCGTGATATGATATGTAACGCGTTTTTAACACGCTCAATTGTCAAATTACTATGGAGTTTGACAGCTAAACGCGATAAAAAAATATAATGTAAATTGTAGTTCTCATGAGACGAAAGATGGTCGTTCTTGAACCCTGATACAGAAGTACTTGAACAGGCGCGCTACATGAGTGACATAATGATGTGTGTACCATAGACCGAAACTTAACTTTTTTTTATTAAATAAAACTAGTTTTTACGGGTTAATGCACGAAACTTTATTTATTTATTGACGTTTCGTAGCCTTTACAGGCTACGTCGTCAGAATCAAACTTTTATTTGATAAAAGTTTAATTCTGAATAAAAGTCTAAGTAGAGTCTAATAAAAGTTTGATTCTGACGACGTAGCCTGTAAAGGCTACGAAACGTCAATAAATAAATAAAGTTTCGTGCATTAACCCGTAAAAACTAGTTTTATTTAATGAGTGATGTGCGTGAAAACCTAAGAAACAATTTTTTTTTTATTACTAGTTTCACAGAATATAATATAATATTGTAATCAATCGCATCTTAAAACCACAGAGGTATGCATTAACTCAATGTACGCCTGCACGATCATCTTTAATTGCTAGCGGAGGAATTACTTTAAGTATAACATTAATAACAAATTAATATCTTGTTAAATTGTTTAAAAAGTATTCTTTTAATTAATGTAAAAGAGGTTCATTACCCTTCATTCAATACAGACGGTAAAATAGTGAGTGACCATAGAAAAAGATATGGTTTTGACATCTGTCAATCAATAAATAAAATATAATATTTGTGCACGAAAAATTGTACGAAATAATAGCTATAAATGTTGTTTCTCATTTCCGAGCAACGCAATTGTTTTATTTCGTAATTAAATCTATTTAGTTCATAAAATCACATTATAAAACAACATTTTCTACAGCTATTTTACAACAATGGAAAAGTTAAAGTTTGAGTTTGTAGTGAAAGCAAGTGAGGATCCAAAAACCAATACAATCTGCATAATATCAATCACTGACATCAACAAATGCACCTTCTTACTACCGGAACATTTTCAACGGGCAAGATTGCATGATGCGGTAATAAAAACTCCAGCTTTCCAAAAAGTAAAAACTACACTACAAAATAGACAAATCGTTTGTTAGAGTGAGCATTCCCGGTCCACAGGTTTGATTTATAGCGAGTTGTCTATTTCATGAGTGTCGCTCAAGCCGATCTCTTTGTCTATGGCGCTACATAAGTGATATATATATATGTGATATTATATATAAACATAAATATATGAGGAGCTTGAAGGCGCAGGAAGACCATATCCAGTCTTATCACGTTTGGTCTGCGATCTTCGATCTTAGTTCGATAATTGGTTGGATCACAAAAAATATACTATCTCGAGCTTCACCATGCTTTAGAAGGCACGTTAAGCCGTTGGTCCCAGCTGCATCTGCATTCGTTAGCACCCACCAATCCTCACTGGGCCAGCATGGTGGGTCACGGCCCAATCTCCCTCACACATTCATAGGGTGAATAGGATTCACCTGTGCAACCAGTGGGAACATTAATAGGCTGATGATGAGGTAGTGTGTGTCCTCACCTTCCCTGGTGGTGGTGTTATGCTGCAGTACTGGTGCTACCACCAACTCGTCTCCGATACAGAACTCGTCCCTCACAAGCAGTGCAGCATCACCAGCAGTACGCAGCCAAAGAGCTCGCACCAGCGGTAAGCCCTCCTCCAACGCCTCACGCTTGTACTTCAGCAGAAGGGGGGTCACCTGCAAATGAATTGTTTTTAAAACATATATGCCCACCCTAAACATTCGAGTGTCAGAAACTTGCAAAGTAATTTTAGAATAGAAATAAATAAATAAATAAAAATAAATATTTCCAACACTCACACCAATTAGCCTAGCCCCAAAGTAAGCACTGTAAGGCTTGTGTTATGCGTTGCTAGGGTAACCGATAGAATACATATACTGTTGATATATAAGTATATTTATATAGAAATTAATATTTTACATCCATGACTGGAGTACAAATGCTCGTATTCATCACACAAACATTTGCCCCTACCGGGATTCGAACCCGGGAGCTCTCGAATCGGCGACACCATGAAACCCGGCGTACAAACCACTCAGCCACGAAGGTCGTCGTAGAATGACTTCAAGGTCAATGGAACGCCTGCCTCTCTAAGAAATTCCTAGCAACGCCAATGTTTATGAGTCACAGAAAAGTACCCATATCTAATAACAAAATAACACTGAATCCAAATACATCTTCATAAGAATATATTTATTAATCTTATAACAATCGAAACAAAATACAGATACTGCTGGAAAAAAATAAGTCACTTTAGTAGAAGCGGAGTCATCTGCAAATAAATAACTTTGTAGTCACTGATGTCATCTTTAACAATATTTAAATACAAGTCCCGTTTTAAACGTCTGAGAGCAAATGTAAATAATGTAACCCTTTAATAAGCTGCTGTAGATTGAAACCATATCTGAACATTCAGTTGATTTATATATTTCCATAAGGCTAACGAATTCCCAACACTAAACTTTATCAAAAATTTGGCTCCCGTCTCTGCTACAAATATCGTAATTTCCACCACTACTAGAGTTAGTATATAAAAGTATTTTAATGTATCAACACAATTCGAAACAACTGAAACGACAAAGAAACAAATAAACAGTAATGATCCATCCGTCCTCTCGTATCCATACCAAACCTCTGCTATGTTTTAATAATGATAGACTTAACCCGATTTAATTAATCTAAAACCTGCATTTTTCTCTACATTCAACATTAATAACACTTCAGCTAGCGTAACCATAGAGAAAAGTCGACGCTATGTAATACTCATATTTAGCTTGTAAAAACATTTAACAATTATTAGTTTATTATTCTCACCAATTTCTGTCTCAGCACCGTCAAGTTCTTGGCCATCTCCAAAACTTTCTCGTCGTTATATTTGCTCGGCAGATGTGTGAATTTCATAACAGGCAAGAATGTTGCCATTTGTAACCATCGCATGTACAGCTCTTTTTCTGGCAAATCTATTCCGTTATGTGAAGTGTCTGTGAAATTCACGTCCACAGATCCTTTGGGAGACGGCAAAAATTGTTCACTGCCAGGCCAATATATGTCACCTCCTACTGCACCAGGCATTATGAAAGGATATCCATTGATTCCATACGTCAACATGGTAGGGATGACCAGTCTCATTGCTTCCCATGTAGATTCAAACGGCGGCAAAGAAACGAAAATAGGTGGCCGGGGCAGTGACACCGCCGAAGACACTCCAATAACATTCAGAGTCTTTTCAAACGTTTTAATGAACACAGTTTTATATTGATCAGGATTTATAAGTTTCTTCTCGCATTGATAATAATGTGGCATATCATAAGCTAAACCTAAGTCGAAATAGAAAGAGTCGATATCGTATTTATCAATCACAGCCTGCAGCTTATTCATAATCCATGGCACAGTTTTACTGTTCGTTATATCTAACACACCGGCACTAGCTAAAGATTTGAATCTCGTTAATGCTGGTATTCTCCTATCACTATTCCTTTCGGTAATTAATAATCTCTTTTGAACACATTCACCGAAATTAGCACTTTCAGTGCTTATAAACGGCTGTACAGTAAATGCTACTTTGAATCCTCGTCTATGCAATTTGTCTACAGTGATGTTTAATGTTTCAAATCTACTAGTATCGACTGTGAGATCACCAATTTCGTTCTGCCAAAATTCGTTTATGAGAACGTGGCCTTGTTTCAAGAAGCCCAAATTTATAACATCCTCTGTATATTTAGAAATAGTTTCAGCTTGTAATTCGTGCTTGAACCGAGGAGCTATTTGCCAAACCGGTTCTGATATGAGAGAGTCTAAGGTTTGCATATCAGCTGGCTTCAGACCATCCCATAAGGGTGTACTTCGATGGCTGTGGATGGAAGAGTGTAGTGACTTCATATCTTTAGAAGTGCAGATATTGTATTTCATTTCTGCGTACTCGGTGAATCTATTGGCATAAGCGAAGTCGTCATATTTGGCCATAAGGCAAATCTCTTTGCTATTTGCATTGACTGAAACGTAAAGCGGCGTTTCTTCATCTATAATGATGGCTGCTCCTTTTGAGTTTATTAAGTACCGTGTGAGCACATTGCCCCATTGAGATTTCTGGATATCACCCGTGACGAAAGGAGTATACTGTATAGTTCCAGTGTCTAAAGGCCACGTCAAATTGATGGACTGTCCGCCGCCAAACCAGTGAGCTTTAGTGTCACTCCAATCAAAACAATCATTGGGAGTTACATCTGCAAAAAAATATTGTAAATTAGCTGTCGTTTTGTCAACTTAATTTTGAAATATTATTACCTAGATCATTCTCAGCTTAGGCGGAAGTTCTGAATGAGGTATAAATACTTATAAAGATTATTTTAGTTATCGCAAAGAAAAGTATTTCCATAAAATTATTTTCAATAACCTGAATTGTACGAGTCTTACCGTGTTTAAGCGCTTTCCAGTGAACATTGAAACAGGTGGTGTTATCAACGCCCGGATCGTGTGGCAGACTCTTGAGGTAGAACCGTAAGGTATGCAGCCACTCGAGGCACACCGAGCCGTCCTGGTGTCGATGCTCCGGCAAGCAGGGGTAGACATTGCCTTTGCCTGGGTGACTCACCGCTAAAACATATTTGTAGTTAAAAAATACAACGAAACACTTTTAAAATATAAAGCAACATGGATGTGACCATGTTGTGTCCCTGCTGCTATGTTTTAAATATAGCGTAATATTTTTGATACAAATTTATTAAAAAAAATCATTAGTCACCATTACTTCAGATTAACTATTGTCGTAGAAATCATTCAATCTCTAGGCTTTTCTGAAGAAATTCAGTGGTAACCTGTGGTAAGAGATTGGAATTCAAACCGGCAAGACGAGCAAGGGTTGCTGGACAGACACGTTGTTGTCTTTTGTTTTATTTACCTAGTCTAGCTCTAAGTATTTCCACTTCGTCGGCATTGAAGATCCTGATGAGCCTCTTGGGTTCGTTGAACTGCACGTTGTTGAAGTATGCCTTGGTAGCAGCCTGCTGGTGGTATAGGACATACGCGAACCCCACGAAAAACACCACCGCGAGGAACATGAGCCCCACAAACGCTCGCAGCTTATAGTCCGTCGGTTTCTTCCGGATCTTTTGGGGGATACTCTGGAAAATGAGAAAAAGATAATGGAAATATTAAGAATTTATGACATTGGTAATGTAATCGATAACTTATTTTATAATTGGTTGATATAAGCTCGTGCAATTACTGGAGACATCTACTATCCAAAGAGGTTTAGTGACTATAAACACGATTAGAGTACCTCTTTTGACCTGAGTGCTTCAGGAAAACTGTCAGGTCTTATAAGATTTTACCTCTTCTGAGAGCAGTTTAAGAGGATTCTGTCCTGTATTTATGGGTCAGAGGTACATGCTCAGAGGCTGCAATCATAAAATTGATAATCAATAACCTAAACTTCATCGTGCTGCCTCATACTTAATGACTATAAAAGTTAGAGTAGAATAAATAGACAGTGACTATCCCGATATATCGAAAGTCAACTTAAATTCTTTTTGACCTTTCATATTTACGGCACCAGTAAGCCGGAGATTGATTGGCAGAGTCAGCAACTTCTGAATCAGCAAATACTCAGCAATTTTGCACTTAACACAAATACTGTCGTTGAATCAGTAGTTGTCTTCCACCAGTTTCTTACTTACCTGCAGCTTCTCCCGCAGCAGACTGGCGAGCGAATTGACCGAGGTGACTGAGTTGCTGGGCGAGTAGTCGTCGTCATCCATGCTGAACTCGGAGCGGCCCAACCGGCGCGGGGTGCGGCGCGGCGAGCGGATGGGTGACCTGGAAACAAAATATATTTAAGGCAATTCATTCTGCGGAGAAGAATCTTTCAGTGAAAGGAGAGAATCGTGTACCAAGCCTCATCAAAGATTTGAAGTATTGTTAATGCAGATGGTCTTGTCAATGATTCTGATGCCGTTAGACGCTGAAACAATCTCAGTAGTCGATTTTGCTCATCCTGTTAAATTAATGATCAAAGTTTACCAATTTCAGGACTTCTTTTAGCTGTGAAGGAGAACAGGCAAAGTAAATCCTGAAACATTAATGTTATAGTAGATAGTGATGACGCTTACAAAACGCAATGTCGCAGGCAGATTGTAGATTCAGCGATTTCCTTTTGAGCTTGAGACTCATTGATCATGCATGAAAAATGGTGAGTGCTAACGACTTCAGTTGTAGTCAAGACATCGGTTTAACCGAGTCCTTCGAAACATGGCAGTGCTCGTGATATTCAATATTTTGTCACCCAAATAACCTGTGATAAAACCAGTCAATCCACAGCCAGCTAAAGTAAGACTATGACATTAGTAGAGCAAATGCACCACGTAGGTATCATTTGCACGGCAATCTTTCGCCTACCGCAAATGTTCACTTTGCATGTCACGGCCTTCCGCCGATGTCGTCCATATTCTCGCAAATTACAATTTACTGGAAACTGTCTGTGGCGCTTCATGAGCTTTATTGTGTTTGAATAAGGTTGGGTATTCGGCAGCAGGTAGTATTATCCAGGGTGATAATGAGGAAGCATGCCAAGTGGCATAAGTGCACATCTCACAAATCTTGTGCTCAAGTTAATGGACTTGAACTTGACCGCTTGAGTGGAACTAAAGTTATTAACCGTGTGGGTTAGGTTTTTCCAATTGTAATCTAAAATGTTTATTGTTTTAGGGTTTTGATTTAGACCGAACCATATAAACATAAGTATTTTTCGAAATAAGGCCTAATTAATCGTACGCTAACCGTAACAAGGAAACAGTTGAAATGTTCTCATATTCTTTCACCATCACGGCTGTACGACTCTGGAATGACTTGCCCCCTAATATACGTAAAGCTCCTAACAAATTTGTATTTAAGAGATTGGTTCGTGAGCATTATCTTAATATAATTAATCTGCGTTCTCATACTTGACTGGCATAATTATGTGTATGTATGTATTGTAGATATAGCATATATATTTACATGTATGTAGTGTATATATATTTTAATATTTGTGTATTCTATTGATATATATATTACCTACCTGGTTTATTTAGCATATGTCCATATTGCACCCCCGTATTTTTAGTTCTCACGCTTTTACTGGTCGACTGGTAGAGAATGCCTTATGGCATTATGTCCGCCAATTGCTGTTTGTTTTGCAATAAAGTATAAATAAATAAATAAATGTTCCTGGAATGTGCTTGTATTTTCAATAGGGTTCTGTTTTCTGCTGGGGTATTAAAAATCTTTTATTATTTTCTAGATTTGTGTTCGTATGGTAAAGTTTCCACAGCCCAAAGCTTTTTTGTCACCTCTCTGGCAGGGAAGCGGCTGTGAAATGCCTACAGGCAGCTGTAGGTTTGCCAGACTATTTCGGATCTAAACAAACCCCATGCTTTTGCGAACTAGTTTAGGGTCGTAAGTAGAGTCACAGAGGATTTCGATGAAGTTTGAAATGATCTTATGCCTCTGGCCATAAGAACTTTTAAATCTTTAGCGGGAGCGATCGACCACAGAAGGACGCGATGTAGACCCTAAAGTGTGTGATGTTGTGAAAATAAGCTGCAGGCAAGTAAAGTCAGGAGAACTTTGTGGTGTCAATTCACTTGCTGCGTAGAGTTTTCTTCAATCTTAAAAAAATTTAATAACATTTTAAAGAGATTGAGCTTAGTTGATTGGCCACTCTCATTGGTGAAACTACCTCCATATTACAGAAAAGCATAATAAATGAGTGTTTTTGTTGGTAATTGAGTTTCCAGGGTTTAACGCCGTAGACTATTGCAGGCTCATGCCAACAAGCTTAGGATTATTATTACTTGTATTTTTAAGTGTTATCATGTAACGGCTAGATGTGATGTGACGAACTGGGTGATCATAGCTCGGGGGCCGCTTCTCGACTGCTTTTTTTTGAGTGTGTATGCTGTTGGTCGCAGATGACCTTTACAGCGTCACCGGGTTTTTGGACGGCGTGATCCTAAGGGAACCTCCTCCAAGCCGAGAATTGGCAAGTGCCTCTAGAGGTATTCCAGGCGGATGGCATCTCCCCACGGGTGGAGTCTCCTCTCCGTCTGGAGCCTCTAGACCACTCGAACCAGAGGGGGTCGGCTCAACTAGACGGCGTCTCTGAGACTCGAACCTCGGCTCTAGTTAGCTGTTATCGTGGGGGGCGGGAAAAACGGCCAGGTACGTACCTGTACCTGGTATACCGTGTCGTGTGTAGACCGGGTCTTCGTACTGTTATCCTACGGGAGCGGTGTTTAATGCTAAACTAGTGTGCAAGTATGCTAGCAGTGTAGTATTGGTGCTTGTGGCCTGTGTGGGAGGAGTCGAAGGCGCGTTAGCGCGGGTGATATCGTCGTCGGGGTACTCTAAGACGTGCCTAGGCCGACGGAATTGGAGGGACCTAAGATTGTAGGACAGAAGGGCGGAAGTGTGATAGCTAGAGGCTTTGACTACTAGGGGGTTCGGAGGGTGCGCGGCTTTATCGAAGTAAGTCTCGAGACGTCCTTCATATACTTCCCGATGGAGTCTAATTTGAGATCGCGATGCAAATCGATGTTGCGCACGTACCACGGGCAACCTGTGGCACCGCGCAACACACGATTTTGCAGCGTTTGTAGTGGTTTAAGACGCGACGGAGGTACGTGGGCGAAGCAAACACCCGCGTAGGTCATGATAGGGCGGAGGCAAGTTTTGTAAATTGTCAACGAGAGTGCAAGCTCAAACTGATGGCATGGCTCAAGACCTTGGATTATGATCACACTGAGAACCTTCTTAATCTTACTTACTAGCGGATAAAAAGAGCATTTGTACACACATACTCACGTACACTCGTCACACTCACGCACATGCACACACATGCACACACACGAACACGCACACACACATACACACGCATACAGACACACACTCAACCGCTTATATAAATTGTAATCTATATATTTTTTACTTTTTTTACAATGTATTAAAAATCCAATGAAAAGACCTTACCATAAGAAATATCAATGATGCTATGGAAGAGTGGTTCCTTCTGGTACAGGTGTTTAACACTTAATAGAAGGAACCCACCCTGGTTTGATGTAAAACAAATGTGGTACCGTAATAAACTTTTTTGATTTTGATTTGATTTTTGAACTTATGCCTAAGTGACATCTTACTACGCTTCCCTATTAAGTGGAATGGTATATATGGACTGTTAGCCTCCAATTATATACTATTTATTGTCAATATTTTATTATGAATCAAACAGCGCGACCCGTGATCCATTATTAATGTAAGACTTATTCACTTAAACTAATACAGATACAAAGAGATACTCAATGTGTTAATGATAGGTAAGTATGAATGTGTTAAAACATTTATTTACTCATGTAGGTGCTTGTTATTTACTTTACGGGTCGATCAGGGCTTAGATTTCTGTGGCCTCTAATGATAAGTGTGTTTATTACATAACATAAATAAATTCAAAGATGTAAAAATTATAAAAAAAGCACTTATTGAAAAAGCTTATTACAAAGTGTCTAATTATATTACAGACAAAAAAGCTTGGGTTTGAACTGTTCCAATCATTCCGACAGGTTTTCTACATTAAATAAATCATGATTGTGTTGACGTTGTAACAACATAATGATTTGTAAATGTTGTTACATTATACTTATAATGTTGTCGAGTTTTTTCGCTAGTTTTTCTCCTCAGCAAAAAAATTTGATAAATAACGAGTGGTAGGGAAATAAATTTTTGAACGATTCAAAAGAGTTGTACTATACATCCAATTTGAATAAAGATACTTATATTGATTTCTGATTAAACAATGAATACGATTTTGAGATCATTGCCCCGCGGTTTCACTCGCGATAATTTGGGTAAAAACCGTTTGGAACAACCTATGATTATTTTATAGTTGGAAAAACCCTTTTTGTTTATATCTCGCACATAAAAACAACTTCGTAAACAACGCATTATTTTAGAACTTTGACCACTATAAAAAGTGGTTATAAAGTGAATGTTGACTCATGTGTTTATTAAACATGTTATGTAGTCGCGGATTTTTTTTCACTTTGAAGAGGAACTAATTCGTTGGTGTTATGGCAAAGAAATTGACATCAACAACTATAAAGTGAAGTTAAAAGTAATTTTATTATATTTTGTAATTTTTGACCTTATTGAACTGTAAACATGTCGTTTTCTAAATTAAGAGTTACTGACGATTCTGAGTGCTACAGCTGTAATCTAAAAATCTTTAATAGGGATGATGACTTTTTTTTTATCAGGTAGTTTATCAAAAAGTATTGGACACGTATTTTTTCTTTTTTCACATAATATAAACATTGCAGAGATATATTGATTTGAAAAGTCGCATGACGTCACGTTTGAGCACACTTATAAGTGAAAATTCACTCAAAAGTGACGTCACGAGCCCCTACTTCCACACTTTGACGCGCTATAACTTTGTAATTTTTTGGTTGATTGCCCAAAGAAAAAATACCAGTCCATTATTTTTTGATCATCTAACAGACGGACTAAATAGAATTTCGTTTACTGTACCCCGTCATCACCCCTATTGTGTAGTGCAACATTAGCTGGTACCTGCGACAGGAAAAAGTACCGAATCTGCTCTCGTTGCTAACGAGCACTCTTTTCCCCTACCGCGTGGAATTTGTGCTAACGTCCTCGCCACAGGGACATTGACGAGTTACGAGGAATGATGACGGGGTGAAGTAAATGAAATTCTAAATAGTCCGTCAGCTATATGATAAAAAGCAAGATAATTAAACAATAATGGACTCATATTTTTTCACAAA